ACAACAACAACAACAACGACGACAACAACAACGACAACGACGACAACAACAACATCACACAACAACAACAACAACAACAACAACAACAACAACAACAACAACAACAACATCACACAACAACAACAACAACAACAACGATAACAACAACAACAACAACAACAACAACAACAACAACAACAACAACAACAACAACAACAACAACAACAACAACAACAACAACAACAACAACAACAACAACAACAACAACAACAACAACAACAACAACAACAACAACAACAACAACGACAACAACAACAACAACAACAACAACAACAACAACAACAACAACAACGACAACAACAACAACAACAACAACAACAACAACAACAACGACAACAACAACGACGACGACAACAACAACAACAACAACGACAACAACAACGACAACGACAACAACAACAACGACAACAACAACGACAACAACAACAACAATGACAACAACAACAACAACAACGACAACAACAACAACAACAACAACAACGACAACAACAACAACAACGACAACAACGACAACAACAACGACGACATCAACAATTTACCTGTGGATAATAATTTTCAAACGCTCGATCAACATTCAGATGTTTTAATATATCGCCAAGTAACGTGTCAATTTCTCTTTTCTGAAATAACAAAAACAATGAGTGGATGGCACAAAGAATAGTAGGTTAAATAACTAACCACACATGAAATCAACTCACCCCGAAATATTTGATTGGGTATTCAACCCAAATCTCAGCACATGATATGTATTCCTGGAAATAAATTTGGAACATTCAGGAAATTGTGAGCAAAAACTGTATAGGCATTCAAGACCTACGCAGAATTACCTCGGGTGAGTTTAATTTCATAACAACTTTCCAAACATCATTCAATAACTGCAGTCTCTGCGCCTCGGGTGGTTCATCCAACACCACATTCATTCCCAATGAACGATACAGTTGATACTAAAGGCAAGGACAGGATTCAAAATACAAATTTAGGATCCAATAGCTTACGTCCTATGGCCTGCCAGTCTAAATGTTTTTGGCAGTTGAAATAAATTTTAGCCTGCCATTTTATTCACGAAACTGCCAAAATGGCGATGTCTCATATGAGTCGCATTGTAAAAGTCAATGTTTTCATGATATGCATTTTTATTGTTTTTAAACTTGTCTATTTTACTACAGTAAACTTGAATTTACATTTCAAATATAAACGTATTTAGTCAACTAAATGATCTGGTATATACCTTTGGAAAACCAGCGTCTTCGCAATCAGATATGATTTTGACAAATTCTAATGCCCTAAACGAAAATTTCAAGACTCTAGATTCAGGATTTCTAGCAAATAAAATCAATTTTGCAAACGGGCAATGCGATCTTACCTTGCGCTGATGTACGATGGTCGAAAGGCAGACATGATGGAGTTTAGAATCAAAGCACTGAAAAAGAAAAGATTGACCTTTATTAGTAAACCGGATTACTCGATGAAAACCTGAAGTATTTAAAACTGGAAGCCATGCAGGGCTTTCAAAATAAACCGTTGTTTAATTAGTACTTGAAGTAATATTTCAAATCCGACTATAGGACTGGACTAAATTTCAAGTCTGCGCAATTTGATCGAGTCAGAGGCGTAGAGGCTTGAAATCTAGTCCAGTCCGACTTGGAGGATTTGGAATGACATCTCATACGAATAAATCACTACTTAAAGTAAGGTGAATTGATTTTGATCCAGTCCTAGGACAGGATCAATGTACTTCACCAGCAAGGGTGGGTAGTAGCGAAGTAGTTGTAGTTCGCTACTGTAGCGAACTACAATTTTCAAGTAGCCAGTAGTTTTTGACTACTTTTTTAAAACAGTAGTTGTAGTTATAGCGAACTACATTTTGCCTAAAAGTAGCCAAGTAGTTGACTACTTTTCAAACAGCGAATCGCTATTCGCTACTTTTTAAAATTGTTAGCAACCGTTCATAGAATAGAATGATATTAAGACACGGTTAGCTTAAAAGATTATTTTATACAGTAAAGATTATTTTAGCGCAATGAAAAGTGGCACTCCTGAACACTGTAGTGCTTACAAAAATGTTCCTTTGACTCTTTTTGTTTACTGTTGTTACTCGTAAGTCGATTTGTTATAGGTTATATTACAGCCTGAGCTAGTGGATGCTCCAAGTACCGTAAAACTAAAAAATATAGAGTAGCGAAATAGCGAAATAGTTCGCTACATTTTTTAAGCAGTAGCTGTAGTCAGTAGCGAACTACTTTTCTTCAAAAGTAGCAGTAGTTGTAGCTGACTACATATTTTTGAAGTAGTTGTAGTTTAGAATCAGACAACCGCATATTGTAGACACTGCTGAGGGTGAAAATCTCGGCCACATGGTTAAAACAAAAAAACTGTTGTAAAACCGCTCCTTGGAACAGCTTCGACACTCTCTCCTCCTTCTCATACCTCCGAGGCAAGACTTACCTCCAACTTACTGCCACTGCCTACTCTCCTGACGTACCTAACTCACACTCTTTGATCACGACTGAATAATATCTTCTATATTAGTCGTTCTCTTATCCTCTCTCTTAATTTCTTTACTTCTTCTCATGTACTTTTTCTATTCTATATTTATGTGTTGTTTTGTCTGTACTGTCCTGATTAATTAATGGTGAGCACCATGCATGGGACCTAGTCTCGTTTGTGCTTATCCATCTTTGGCACGTTTTTACATATTGTATATATTCTTGTGTTAGTTTGTGCTAGTTATGTACAATAATGTGGGGCTGTTTGCATGCGTGCCAGACAAAGCTGTTAAATTTTAAAAAATTTAAAAATTAAAAGGAATTGTATAAACTAACAACCGTGCCACCAACGATCACTCAAATTATACCTGTTGCACTCCTTTGTACAATGGTTCAAAATTTCTGTCAACACTTCCTAAAAGAATGAAAATACTCTGAAAACAATTTCCTGAAAAGCGATCGAATATTGTACGTTGAACATTGGTGTGTCGTTAACCGCATATTAGTGAGGTTCAGATTTGACTTCCGCTACTATTAACCAATCAGATGCCTTTGCTATATCCGATTAACCAATCAGATGCGTTTGCTATATCCGATTAACCAATCAGATGCGTTTGAGACCCTTCGTCAAGGGTAGTCAGTGACTGAGACCATGAAGTCAGTCAGTGATCGGTCATGTCCAATAAGAAAACCTAGTTAGAATTACGAAACGGATCGGAGCAAGTAATTAAACTTTATAGTAACTTCAAATCATTCAACAACTTAATTCTTTCATTACCAAAAGTTCGTTGAAATATGAAATAATTTTTCATAATTTTGTCTGCCGGAGTTAAATATTCCGCAGCTCCGCCTCTGGCGCACACCTCTAGTTGACTTACCTCTGGTGATTTGAAAGCAATGCATTGAATAATCCAGTCGAGGGCAGGTGTGTACAGTCGAAGATAATCGGTTGGAGCTGAAAGTGGAAATAAAACATGCCTCACTCTTTCGTACTTGTCAACGGGAAAAATGTTGAATGGTAATGGACTTAAATCAATCTTATTCGACCTACCTGTATTTTGTTTAGCCAATATGTTTTGAACTGTGTCAGTTTGGAGCTGAAAATGAAGAAATGTATTTTAGATTTTCTAAATCCCTTACTGTACAGTTTTTTGCGTACCAAGTTTAAATTCAAACTATTTTTAAATAAAAAGCCCTATAAATGCCAATTCAATGGGCAATGCAATAATTGTGCATCGCATGGCAATTCAATTTATTTCATCAGTAAAATGCATTTTACATAAGTCGAAATTAAGGCTTTTGACCCTTCTGTCCCAATATACACAATATACCCCAACAGAAAACGAAACTCAAATTTCGGGGGAAAAGAGAAAGACTATCTTGAGATTTAACAAATTAAGCTATATCATATTTGAAATAATTTTATCGGCACCTGACCGAGATCTCAACCAGCGCGAGATCTGAGATCCCACCCAGCTGGGTTGAATAGGTTTGAATGTGTTTCACAAAGCCTGTTTTATTTGAGAATTGTATAAAAGTCGCGCGAAATTCCAGTCAGGAGACATTAAAGTTGCGGGCAGTTTCAGATCAATATATACATTGTAGTATAAAGATATAGTCACTCTGGGACTGTTGAATGAAAACTGTATCTTTGAAAGTGATTAAAAATGACACACTCTTTGATTAAAGCATTTTTGATGGCAGAAACTACGACTTAGCGCAATCTACATTATATTGGATATAAACGACATCTCGACAGCCAAATATGATTTACAAAGTGGGTACCACTGAAGTCAGTTCCACATTTTGATCGAGGCATAATTAAAAATCTAGCGAAATCGAGATTATTTTATTTGGATTGATATGGTTCAATGAAATGTGCATGGCAATTCCATACATGATTATAACCCGTTAACGTTTTATACATGTTGAAATATGTCTGTATATTTGTTGTGTCCTACCAGAAAATTGGAAAATCAAATTAATGAACACCCACGCTAAGTGGTAAGGTTGTTGTGGTATTATTTATAGTGCCTGTTTTTAAACTATCGTCTACGTTTTTGACTTTTATACCAGAAATATCATGCCGGTTTTGACGTTTTGTAGTAACTATTTTATTTAGAGAAGCACTTTAGTCTTTACAACTGGTTATATCGTCATTATGTAGTTCATCGGTTCATATATGGTTCACTAAAATGTGCTGAACACAATTAAAAATAGGCACGCAATGCGTACATGTTGCATGCCATCTCGGCCCATCTGAAACCTTATGATGCGCTATAGCGCTTCTAACCTTTGGTACAACTGGCCTGAAACTTAAAATATCGATTCAATAAGTTTAATATCAATATATTTATGGAAAAATAGCTATTATGTCAAAATAAGAAAACTTAAGATTCTCACGCGAATAGGCAATGTTTTTATGAGCGACCGTTCATCGTTAGTTGCACAAGTTTTACTGTATCGAAAGCGATTGACCGTTAGATTTCCTTTACAAATTTATAACTAAACAAGGCATGCATGTGCTCAAGCGTTCACACTGGCCTCGCGGCTGGTAAAATACCATCGCAATATTCCAACTGAATAGTTTGAAATATGTAGATGTTCTTGGCCTCTTTTAAGGATGTGTAACTGGAGAGGACATATTCAGCGGAGGACCTGGAGAAGTTCCAGTCGGCAAGTCTGTATCGGCCTGTAATACCGGCCTGTATCACTGCAGCTACCAGCATATGTGTGCATGGTTAACTAATAAGTATACGTCATAAGGTAGCTATATCAGGCTACAACTAGGATTCTGAGACAACCGAGTCAACAACCGAAGGTGCGAACCTCTATAGGGGTCTGGGGGCATGCCCCCCCAGAAAATTTAGGATTTCTGGAAGCTCAGATAAGCTATTTCCATTTTTTTCAAAATCAATGACAACATAGATGTCTTATATTGACAAGTGTTTTAGAGTTTCATTGCACAAAACAATTATATTCTCATGAACGTGTCCCGCGCAGAGTGTGCATTTGGCTTTTTAATTAAACGTAAAAATTCAATGTACTTTTATATAATTAAGAGCTCAGTTTTTCCATTTAACCGAACAGCGAACAAATATTTAATTAGTCAGTTATGTGCACGGCTTGAATGCCAATTAAGCTTTCTCAAGGTCTCAACTTGCCGGACACGGATATACTCTAACCGGCTAACAACAGCAACAACGAAATTCTCAATCGTACCACGAAGAAGGCTATTTAAGCTGAAGAAAACAACGCCGGTAGGACCTGATAAATAAGACTTTTGCCGAAGCCAGTTGGCAGAACAGCTAAGACATCTTGGCTGTGAACAACAAGCTTTTGAATACATGACTAGTTTTGCTGTTCTTTCAGCGTCTTGTGTTCAAACTTCGTCAAAGATTTTGATAAAGCCCTTTCAAGATACTGTTTGTTTGATTTATTTTCTGCCATAAAGCATATACTGTAAAAGAAAAGCTATCTTCTTTGACCTTAATTGTCGCCTTGAGTGTCCTTATTCTGTGGCCTTGACCGAGCTATTTTTAAAGCTATTGTTTATGTGAACTCGCAACCAATCAAAATCTTTCATCATGCTGATCAACCAATCAGATTTCCCGTCCACCAGATGGACGGGAATCCCACAGTTTAGACAGGTTTTGTTTCGGGCAAGTATTGTAAATAAACTGTGGGAGATATTTAATAATAAAAACTAGTTTACCCACAGGGTAGTGAATGCTTCCTTGGTATAGCATTGTTCCCAAATCTTTAATATTTTAAAGAACAAGAATAAGAAATATTTGTAATGAATTGGAAGCATCCATAATTTCTACATCAACATTTTCAAAAACAGCAATTAGACCAGGGGTTAAAGGGCAATGAAAATGACATGCGACTGTGCGTCCACTAAATTAAAATGCGTGCTTAATTAATAATGTTTACCAAAGAAGGCAAAAAAAAACAAGACAACCTCACATGTGGAATTTGTTCACTTACGTACTGCCTTGTGATGCAGTACAAGTATAAATACAAATGACAAAGTATTTTTAATCCTAAAACATAATTAAATCATACGGCACATATTTCAAGATCGTATTTCAGCCGCGGAAAGAATATGGAACTAATGTTCAATAAAAGCATCGCGTATAATGTTAAAAGCACCGCGTATAATGCTCGAACCACTGCGTAAAATTGCGAAAGCACCGCGTATATATAAATGGTGAAAGCACCGCGGATAATGGTAAAAGCACCCGGTGTAATGGCGAAAGCAACGCGTATTAATATAATGCTGGAACCACCGCGTATAATTTTTAATTTTAATTTAATTTAATGAATTTATTGAGCAATCTACATCCGTACTATATCAGGTACAAAGATAAAAACTTGACAAACGAAAGACAAAACACAAATCACAAATTAGTAGATACACTCAAAGGGAAAAACACAAACGGGACAATAAAAGTCCCATGCGAGGTGCTCCCCGTAATTAGTTTGGATATAGTTAATTAAATATAGACACACATATATATTACTTGTGGTATTAAGTCCTATGGCAAGGACAGTCACGAGTTAATGACCACGTACAAGCCATGTCTACGTCATAAACATTACTAAATAATGTAGAGTATCTATACGTTTAAGATAGTGTTTAAACGAGTTTGGATTACGGAAAATTTCAGGTGAGCCGAAAAGCAACGAAATGCCGAAAGCACCGCCGTATGATGCTAAAAGCACCCAACAAAATGCCGTTTGATCACTTTAAGCCAGCTACGGCTTTATGGCTATGAAGACCAAAGATGAAAGATGATCACATTGCCTATTTGCCTTATGCCTGCCCGCGCTGCACCACGGTTAAAATTCACTGGTACCGTCATGCAATGCGCCAAATAGACTGAGAATTTTTACTTCGACCCACAAAAGACAAAACAAAATTAGGATCTGCTGCGGCAGCAATGAACATTGCATCATGTAAAATGTTTCAATTGACAACACTTCATCGAGCGAGACGTATAGCTTGAAATCTTTCATCGTTTTAATTATAAAACTACCATGTCTTCCATAATAACAAGTATCTTAAGTTCAACCGTAGGCTTGTTATGGAACAAAGCTCGCGACTCGACTGCGGCTAAACTGAAGGACGGCGATGTGACAGATGCACAAATTCGAGAGATTGTCGTGAGAGAGTTGAACGACATCAAGACGAAACTTGATGGTCTCTCACGCAAAGATCTGCTCAGCAGCTACGATTTCCTACAAGAAGGAGTAGATTTACTCAATGTTTCCCTTGATAAATCAAAGCTCGAGCAGAAAGCAGAAACAACAGCCGGAAGGTCGAGCGTTGTCCAGTCTGGGATCTTAAGCGAAGCCTTGGAACTTTCTCAAGCCATGGGAGAACTGAAAATCAACGCGGATAAGGAGTTTGTATCAGCTCTAGAACGATTCAAAGACGCCCGCAAGACAGCGACCCATGCTTTTCGTATTGAATCTCTAAGTATTAAAGATAGAATCCTTGCTGCAAAGCTACGGGTAGTTTCTGAGTTGCTCGAATGTCTCGAAAGTCCTGAAACAGCAATTCCAGGGTGTCTGTCATTTTTGAAAAAACTGCACGCCTTACCTGCGGTTCAGGAGATGTTCAACGTGTATCTAAACGGAGGAATCAAATCGATGTTTAATAAAGCCCAACGAGTAGAAAACGTCAAGTCTGTAATGATGATCAATTATGTTGTGTTTAAATATGTTTTGAAATTCAGCAGCAAGTATACTTCTGCACACGCCTGGTCAACAATTGAACTTGCTGATCGTAGTTTTAACCCAATATTGAATTGGCAGGAAGTTTCGGCAAGAAAATCTATGGGTGATGAATTGACCCAACTTCCCAACAAACTGATACTTAATGATACTTTTTGTCATGATTTTTCTGCTGTAAACAGCCATGGGGATGTTTTTTTTCTAAACTATTATGGCTTCATCGAGCTTATAACTAAGAAAGGTAAAAGCAAGGATTTTAATTTACCCAGTCATGGAGGTAACGTTATCACGCAAATTATTGTCGCACTTGCTGTTGATAACGATGACAATGTTTACGTGGTGATGAGATTGCCTAATATGCCTACACGTACGGAAAATGGCGATGCGAGAAGTTACGTGTTGGATGTAGTGGACGAGAACTACAATGTAAAGCAGAATTTGCGCATATTGGACTTTCTGGAGGCAACAGATCATATGGAGATCGCTATAAACAAGAACAATGATATCATTATGGCCACATTTTGTGATAGCCCGCTATATGGTGATCCTCAGGTATATATCTGTGACAATACTGGAAAATGAAAGCACAAGTTTGAACGAAGCTTACGTTTTCAACCCATCTTGGGTATTTCTGGGCAGGATGAAATCATGATATCATCAAAAGATGACCAGGCTGTGAAGATATACTCCGAGGAAGGAAATCTGAAGTCGACAATAAAATTACCAGAAGGTCACGAGGTCCGTGGATTGGCATTTCATTATGACATTTGTAAAATAATTATTTTAACCTGCAGCGTCGAGGAAAAATATTTCCTTCTGTGCTACACAGAAGCAGGTGAACTGGAGACCACGACGTTCTTTGGTAAGACAGATGAATTTCAAAGCCCCAATATTAAGTCTCACCCAAGTGGTCCTATTGCTGTTGTAAAGCAAGAAAGCATCACTTTCATATGAAGGAACTTTCCATATGGTTGTACAGTATATGAAAAAATTCTATAAAAGCCTGCCTGGCAAACTTAAATAATAATCAAAAAAAGCATTTATAATATAGCATTTGTAACTTCTGAACGCTGATCGGCTAAGAGCCGTGTTGACGTAATTCAAAGTCTCATTCTCAATTTATTAAGTCGGCAAACTTCTACAAGATCATACCTGTCAACACGAAAAATTTATTTCTTTATATTTCTTTGTGGTATATTATAAAAAATATATAAAACATTTTCTCGTATTGATATACAGTTTTAAGTCTTATCCAAGGGGTCCTGTTGCTGTTCCAATAAGGAAGCACAACATCACTTTCATTTAAGGATTAACTTTCCATATATTTGTACAGTATATACAAAAACGTCCTATAAAAGCCTTCCTAAGTGACAAACTTAACTTAATAATCTTAAATAGGATATGCGTCAACTATAGCAAGTGGCAATTGTAGCTTTAAGAAATTTGTGAACTTTACTGACATTTTGATACGTTATTTTTCCATGATTCTGATTCTATAATAGTGAGCTTAAGCAAGTGACGTTTTTGACAACATGGACGTCGACCGAAAGTAAAGTTGACGTTTTTCACCAATCACAGCCCTTGACCCAGTCTTCTGACGTTACTCATGCCGTTCGTGTTGTCAAAAACGTCACTTGCTTAAGCTCACTAATATAAACTTTGAAACAACACACTTACGCCTGTATTCTAAAAGCTCACTCACACTCAATGAGTGGAAGTTCAATCTGAGCTTCTCTTGAGTGTCAATGGTGTTTTTGAATAACTGGAGGGTGAGTAGTCACATAGTAAGATTCGACACTAACCCTTCAGTTATTCAAAAACAGCAATGACACTCAAGAGAAGCTCAGATTGAACCTCCACTCAATGAGTGTGAGTGAGATTTTAGAATACGGGCGTTAAACTTTGCCAAAACTACGTCTACGACAGCCAAATACCTGTAGCTTCACTGGAAAACACAAATAAACAGAAACAAAATGGTAATATCAGGAATGTTGAAACGTCATGAGAATAAATAATCTTCGGGCCGTGATGTCCCCATTGAAACATCGTGGATCGAGGATTGGCTAATGTATGTATTACTATCACTGTCAATGTGTTGCTGCTAACATTTGGCGCTGGTATTCCGAGATATTTTATTTGTAAAATTCGCATACTTTCGAATAAGATTATTGGATCACCAATATATATCCGCCCAAAAATGTTATTTAATCCAGATAATATTTCACTTCAGTAAATTTTGAGAAGAGATTCAAGAGAATGGCTCCATTGGGAAAAAATTTTAAAATCCATAGAAGGTCATAGAATGGAAATTGATTATCCATAATAATTGTATATTTCCATACCATAGATATAGTATGGAAATAGTATGGAAATACTATGGATATAGTATGGATTTAGTGGTGTAATCGCAAATTTCATAGTATGAATTTCATACTTTTTGCCCAGTGTTCTCAATAGGTGCCGCCACCTTTGAGAAAACGCATTTTGAAACCGCGTGCTTTAAGTAATTGAGATAAAGGCCTCGTAGGGGAGAAGATTCAAAGTAGGTCAAAAAGAAAAAAAATATGATTTTATTTACAGTTTTGTCATAAATATACAGTCTCCTAGACAATTTTTCGGAATTGTTTAAAATTAAATCTGAAGGTGAAAGAGCGAGTTTGTAATAGCTGTTAGAAAATTGTCATTTTTGGCTTTCCGGATGTTGCCCGATTTGAATTAATTAGGGTAAAACTGAAAACCGTAAAAACTAGGGGGAAAAATAAAATTTCAAAAATCCAAATACATTATCAAAGTATGCTTACAAAGCCTAATAAATGGTAACAAAAATCAGGGCAGGTTTTTATTTTAACCCAAAGACGTCTGTGGCAGATTTTACAGGCACAGCCTCTTACCTGTTTGTACGTAAAGAAGAAATCCAACAGACTACCACGTAAATGACTTTTGGCATCGGGAGCTACAAGTATTCCAACCTAGGAAGAACGCGATATAACTAGGTTAAAAGCTGAATGCACAAAACAAAGGACATTGTAGTAACACTGGGACAATATAAGCCATCCTGGTCAAAAACCATCAGCGACAGATATAGCATCGAGCATATGTAGAAACAAGTGGATCACCACAGGGTTTATTTTAACGTTTCTTCCTACACAAAATGCGCGGTTCTAAACCCATTTATGCAGTTCTTAAAACACATATGTCACCAAACTAGCGGAAAATTCCAGAAATGCTGTCATTAATTGAGCATCAAAAATCTAAACGATTTCAGGGGGAGGACTCCAGACCCTCCTATTTTCCTCACAAATTACTTACGTGCTGGGGTAATGGAAAAGAAAGTAAAATCGTTCCTCTGGAAAACCTTTGAAGTTAACGTTACTTCATGTCAGTATCTGTTCCAAGCTCGTTCGAAATTTTTCAAACACACTTGGCTTTGTGAGTTTGTGCCGCTATGCTTCTTTACTTAACTACGACATTTTCATTCAGCCAGGTACACCATCAAATTGATCAAAATGTCAAATGTATAGTAAATGTATTTCAGATATATTATAAATATACTTGGGAAAATAATTGGAAATAATTTCCCTTTTTCCCAGAATTTGGTTCTAAGGGCGTCCCAGGACGCCCTTCTGGCTAAAAGCCTGTCTGTCACCTATATGCAGGTAAAAAATCCTTCGACCCTGATCAATTAAACACCCGTTGCCTTCGTAACATTCCTACAGTATGTGTGCAGTTAAACCCTGGATCACCAATTCTGCAAACGCATCAACATTGAATGGTGGTGTAAGGGGGAGGTTTTTTGCGATAATCTCACGAAAGTTGGTCCAATAATTTAAAGTGGCGCAGATGTTTTGTCCAGGATTGTATAGGCAGAACGCAAATTCAGCTAGAATCGAAATAATTGCAGAACTATCCTTCGGTTAATTAACTGCATAATGATATTCAGGTCTTGCAGAAATATTACGATTTGGCAATTGGCATGGCAAAAAAATGGTTGGCATTGTGAGCAGCAGAGTAAACCATTGTCTGAATGGGTGATTCCAGCTATATAGACTAAATCAAGGCAAGAAGAACGAAATCCAACAGCACAGCTAGAAAGAGCGTCTTAGAATAAGTAAAACTGCAAAGTTTGGTTGCTAAATGTTGTGATAAAATGAAGAAAATATAGCCCTGTGAAGTTCGCAAATATTGTATATATTTGTATTACGTGCGGTAAAAATAACCACTTTCGGCCCATTTTTCCCGCGCGTAATGCAAATAATACCAAATTTGCGAACTTCGCAGGACTATATTTTCCTCATTTTACAACAATTCGCAACCAAACTTTGCAATTTTACTCATTTCAAGATGCCTTTCCAGTTACGGTAATGGTTTTCGTTCTTCTTGTCTAGATCAAAATTTCGTGTATAGCTGGAATTATCCGTTCGCCAGAAAATTGCCTTTCTGAATAGACAACTTGCATGTTAGACTAATTTTTTATTTAGGCCAAAAAAAGTAAATTCCCGTAAAGAACTTATTAAAATCAGTAAAATCGCAAAATTTGGTTACGAAATGTTGTAAAATACAGAAAATATAGCCTTGCGAAGTTTGCATATTTTCAGTATGTTTGTATTACGTGCGGAAATTGTTACCATTTTTGAGCTGAAAATGGTAACAATTTCCACACGTAATACAAATATACTGAAAATATGCAAACTTCGCAAGGCTATATTTTCTTTATTTTACAACATTTCGCAACCAACTTTTGCAATTTTACTAATTTCATTATTTTCTTTTTAACTGTTGTGTCTGATTCCCTTCTCTTTACTTAGATTAAAATTTAGTCTAATATGCAAGTTGTCCATTCGTATTAAGTAAATGCAAGGGATCACTTGCAGCTCTATCGAGATAAACGTGGAAAACAGAAAAACATACACGACAGCGAACTGATGTCGTGTTTTATTTAGCTTTAAAAATTTGTCAGCCAAAATGGTGGAAGTCAATCAATCACGCGACTTGATCTGCTGTGATGTCACTTGCAAGGGCGGAATAAATTAGGCAACAATAACGAGGTAATTATCAGGGTTCGCACAGGTCAGGAAGACTTAAATTCAAGGAACTTTCAAGGACTTTCAAAGAAGCAGGGATGCCGGAACCACGGGTGCAGCGGGTGCAAGTGCACCCCTTGCCTTTTGCATTTTCAACTTTGTGGGTGCAGTGTGGGTGCAACCGGTGCTCAAAACTGACAAGAATTAAACGTCGCTCAAGGATGTGTGTATGAGTGTTCTACCCTCCAGTCGTCAGGAAATCGGCAAAGTTGTTATCCATTTGGCGAAAGGTGAACTGGGAAAGCATTACTTATGGATTTTTTGGCGAGAAATTACGGAGGAATTGTGCCTAAATAATTGTATTCGGTCCGAAAAAATTTGGTGACGGGGAGGGAGGTCGACATGAATGTAGGATCATGACGCCGTTTCATTTTCATTGGTGCCTTTTATTAAGGAGTATGCCCTCTTGTTAACCAATTGCACCCCTTGCCCTCAGCAACTTCCGGCATCCCTGAAAGAAGGCGTTAGAAATCAGTAAAAAGTGACGTTAAACTGTTCAAGCAGCAACTTTAATGAATTTCAAACAGTTTTGGCCTTTGTAAGACACGAACAAAATCAATTTACGAAATGTCCAATTCTTACGGTCCATACAGACCGAATACGATTCGACAACGCGACGCGAATTTTCAGTTTTTAAAAACAAATAAAACCGTCAACGGATAAAAATTTTACAAGATATGCAGACCAAATAGCTAAAATTGCTTAAGTGGTTCCGAATATTTGAAATAAATAAAAAAATAATGAAGTTAAATGTCATTGAAAATTGAAAATTCGCGTCGCGTTGCCCGAAATCGCGTCCGGTCTGTATGGACCTTTAGCAAAAAAAATTCAGAAAATATCCACTAAAGCAAGAACAATTTAAGGACTTTCAGGACTCACTTCTTTATAGACTCAAGGTCTTTGAAGGCCTTAAATTTTTGTTTCCATGCAATTCAAGGACATTCAGGGATTTTCAAGTTTTGACCGAACCCTGAATTATCAACTTACTCGGCAGATGTAGCAACGAGCATATGTAGCAACAAGTGGATCACCAATTCCTCGGATCATCTTGGTCAGTCTCACCAAAGCATTGTCGTACTCCCTACACAAATGATCGAATTGGAATACCAGTAAATATGACAGTGTTCTGAGTGTTCAAATTTCTGTGAAAAAACGTCGTGTGATCCTTACCCAGTTGTGAGAAAACGATAACACTTGAGTATCGATGTCTCAACGTAGCTTCAAAAAGTCAAGCGAAATACAACAAAACAAAATATGTTCTCTTGGTTATTTGAATAACTACGCACGTAATTTGACAAAACGATTACGATTCAAATTTTTATAGCGCACATTTGCATGCAAATACGATCAATTGCGCTTTTCACATCAAGTATTACGCTTGCCTAATTACTTACTTAACCAAGACTATTTACAATAAAATCGTGATATTACTTTCTTAACTGTGTTTATCCTAACCCACCCTGTCAACTTTCCCTGGGGGAGGAAACCGGAGCGCCCGGAGAAAACCCACGACTTTCGGCAGAACCTAGCCTGCGATTTTAAGGGTTTTTCGTTGCCCACGCCTCAACCCCAACCCTTAAAACCGCCGGCTACGCAGGCTAGGCAAAACCTTCCTGGTGATCTCGTGTTCGTATTTTAGCCAATCAGCGCTCAGAAAGGGTTGTCCGAATAGAAATCCATTTTGATGTGTTCAGTCAATTATATCTTTCGTTATTCTTTATGAAACTAGTTGAAATTTTGTAATTATGTTTGGTTATGAGAACTCTAGCTCTGACAAAAATATGGAATCGAAATAAAGTATATTACAGGAGATATTCAGTTGTTTTAATCATAAAATGGATTTCTATTTGACAACTAGTGCCAGTACTTTTCCGCGTATCAAGATCATCTGGTTGACAGACTCTTTTCACATGAGTCAACCTCGCCACGATCTCAGAGGTGATAGGCGCTTGCTCTGACAACTCCGCCACAAAATTTGATTGTGGTTTTGATTTCTTCATATTGAAGATTTCACCCTAGCCAGTCGGGCTAGCTCTCATATAAACACACAATTATTTTTATACGGATCTGCAGATCTCACTTGAGCAGGCCCTCGGGCAAGTCTGGCGCGCACGTTACATTTTCGCCAGGCAATTTATGGTTTAGGGGCATGATATTTAACAACGCCATTGGAGAAAAGCGAGAATAATGAGTGCACAAGTCATACCACTGATTGTTTTAATATGTATCTAAACCATAAACTGACTTCCTAGCGTATGCACGGCTTTAAACGCAGTTCATTTCATCCCCAGGCCCCAAGAAAGGATACAATCGAGGAATGAGTTCTCTGATTGACGCAATCTTGTAAAACCAGTTACGACAAGTTTCCTTGGCAACGTCCGTCACGTCTTCTGGAGAAAAATTATCTGCAAAAATATTTCATGTTATAATTTATAAAACATCAACTACACCCTTTCGATAATTACAGTACATCACAAATCTCTACGAGTCTCATTCGAACCGTGAATTGTGAGCCAATCGCCTTGATGTACGAGAGCGAGGCTCCCAGGCCAAGGAGGTATTTACACTTTACCTGGGAGCATCTTCATTAATTTCGTTCCAGGAACAATTGTGGCAGACTTTCTTAACAAACGTTCATATACAAGACGACCTAAACGAATTTGAAGCTTCAATTACTACAGGAGGAAACCTAAACTAAACTAACTTTATTTATACTGGATAGGTCTATGAGTTCTAAACTGTTCTTCCTAGAGGTCCAGTAAGGATCATCTCTTATTGATCCAGTGTTACTATAGGAGGAAACTTAAACTAAACTAACTTTATTTATACTGGATAGTTCTATCAGTTCTAAACTGTTCTCCCTGGAGATCCAGTAAGAATCATCTCTTATTAAATATGCAGTGTTACTACAGGAGGAATTCTAAACTAAACTAACTTTATTTATACTGGATATAGCTCTATATGTTCTAAACTGTTCTCACAGTGCTTACCGAATGTATCAAGGACATCGGTGATAAGCACAAATTTACTTGGATAGAATCCAATGACAGCAACACTGGCAAGCATCTTGGCACACTACATTGTAGAGTAGATGGAAAACATGTAATATACTGAATGATGGGAAAAACTACATTAATTTGTGAAACAGTATAATACAACATATACCTGAATTGCAATCTTCAAAGCTTTGACTTTTTGTTCATTTTCCCATGCGGCAATCAATTCCTGAAAATTAATTTTGGAAATTAAGAGAGGTTATAACGAGATAAAGAAAGTAAAAAATAAAAAAAAAGAAATAAAATAATAGTTACTTGATTCAACTGTTCAATTCTTCGGACGAATTCTTGTTGACTGAGATTCAACATCTCCTTGATTGACCCCTGTAATTAAATGTGCCATTTTGTAGCTATCTGTTGTGAGTATATTAAGCGGTCACTGGCAAAGACAGTTGAACTTCATGCTAATATTTTATGTTGTCTAATGCCAGACAAAATTTTGAGAGGGGATCATGTAGGGCATTACCTCTTCAATGTCATCCAGTTGTCCAATTCTATGCTTGACTTTGTCACTTACAGTCGTTTGCTGTTTCATAACAACTGTGGAAAAATATTATATTAATTTAATCAAAACAAACAAACATTTATATTATTCATTGAGATATTTTCGTATTCCAAATGAGTAAATTTACCTCGATCTGTATCTGACAAAAAGCTCTAGGGAAAAAATAAAACCAAACCTTTATTTAGAGTGTTTTTTAATCATCATATAACAATGCAGCCATTGTTTCATGCTGGCTCTCTGTATGAGGTTCAATTTCTGCAATTATCAGACTATACTTTGCCTCAGTCACACAATTCCCGTATGTAATGCAATGAAAACCAATTTCTATCTAAAAGGGAATTTATGGCAGCTATGAATCAGTTAATTGACAGTAAGTACAATTTTTATATGACTTACAGTAGTTATTGACAGTTTTTCAGAAGTTGTGTATTTGCTTAATATTCCAAGTCTTTTACTCGACCAAGGCTCAAGGGCAACGTCATCCAATATAAAATGTTCAATATCATCTTTATTTGCTGAGCTTCCCTGAATAAACAATTATGTTAGATTGGAAGTGATTCATCTATTTGACCTGATTGATTGATCGATTTAATTGACTTGATTGATTTACTGTAATGATTGATTGATTTGACCAATTGATTAATTTGATTGATTTAATTAATTGATTAATCTGATTGACTTGACTGATTATATTGGCTTAGCTTGACTTAGGCGTAAAAAAATACCTGTGGTTCCGGTTTCATATCGCGAAAAAATTAGGGTCGGTAGGTCGGAAATTTTTTTTAAAATATTTTTTTCATGTTTTTTTCAATAATTAGTGTGATAACAGATGCCATTTTGGCAGCAGCCTGCAACAACCCAGGAAAATAGGGTGGCATGGTCAATCGCGTTGAAAAAATAATAGTGTCAGCAGAAAAAAATAGAAAAAAATCCGGTGGGGAACCGGAACCACAGGTTTTTTTACGCCTTATCAGATTAATTTGATTAATTAATTGAATTGACTGTTTGATTCGCTGGTCGATCAATCAAATGTTCAACACATATGACAAACCATAAGATTTTTAAAGTTTTATGCTTTCTTACACGAGCACTACGATGCACAATGCAGTCAAAACATTGCTTGCTAGCTCACTAATAACACAACACACACTCACCCCAGCGCTTTTCTTGGTGACTGTTGTAGCGCTTTCTGCGGCAAACATGGACAATGGGTCAATTGTATCACTAGCTTCACTAGATTGACTTTTTGATAGTGGGTCAATAATGCCATGTTCATATGTCTTTTTCTTTTTGCCAGATTTTGTGTCCACAGTTGTCTGGAAGAATAAGCGAGTTACATGTAACACCCACCATTTTCCCATTCCTAGTTCTTCTCATGATTTACAAGGGTTTTTATGGATGGTATATTCAAATGCAAATTTATATACATTTTTAGAATCTAGAGTAGTTGCAAAAAAATGTAACTACTGTATAGGAATGTACGGGCCTTTCACCCTGGCAAATTCATCCTGGTAAATTCACCCTGGTAAATTCACCCTGGCAACACCGCGGTTAAACATAAAGTGCATGTGCAAGTATACAGAAATGGCGGGGAAAATGTCTGCAAATTAGGAGTAATACAGGAAAATAAAAGCGTTTACTAGAAGGAAACGGCCGAAGCTGTAAGGTAGGAAATGCCAGCATTTTTTTGTTGTGTCAATAAGACAATTAAGTTTTACTGAGTTTAAAGACTCATAATTTTCTTCAAACTTTTTGCTAGAACATCGCAAAGTTTTTGAATACAAGCAGTAAATACATGCCGACGTTTGACTGCAGTTTTCACCCTGGCAGGGATCAACCTCATTCCCAGGGCTTCACGGCTACCTAGCCATGAAGTCATGGGAACGATGATGGGCAGGAATCAAAGCTGCGGTCTTGCAATTCTGGTGTAGCACTTTAAAAATATAAACAATATAAATTTCAGTCCTTGGACCAAACGTTGAACTTACTGACACCACCACAGAGATTTTCAAAGGATGGTTGGTCACTGCATCTTGTTGCATTGATATCGACTTTAATTCTTGCGAGTAATCTCGCTCTCTTGATTGCCTATAAATGCATGCGATTGATCATTTGGATCATACTATGAATACGACTTGCCCATTCTGGAAATCGGTAGCATAGAATAGACACTTACAGTACCACAGAACAGATGACTCATCATGACGACTTATACATGCAGTATAAACATTAATAGTGCCAAGTGAACTCCGGTTTTCCAGGTCTGCTGCTTACAGCTCCAGTTTTAGACACAACTTACTACTTTTGCTATTAATATATTTTAGACCTGACTGGAAGAAGGGTTTACAGTTGCATTTTTGCAGCAGGAATCGAACCTGGACTGACCTATGGGTCATTCCATTTATTATCCGCACCCCCCCCTATGGATGAGCGGATTCCTACCGGTCAGATATTAGGACTTAGGGGATTCCTACTGGTCAGATATTGGGAATTAACAGATTCCTTTGGCCCGATTCCTACCGGTCAGATATTGCTGTCAAGGTGTAGCATACTATATTGCCAAATATTTATTATGAGAATCATAATAATTTCATTTATTATTCTCACCCCCCCCCCGGTCTGACATTGGGAATTAGCAGATTCCTACCGGTGAGATATTGGCAATTAGCAGATTCCTACCAGTGAGATATTGGCAATTAGCAGCATTCCTAGGGTTTAGATTGATACTGTCGATTCCAACAGGGTACTTCTCTGAAATCCGATTCCTACAGGTAACATTTTTACCAGAGCTCATCCATAGGGGGGGGTGCGGATAATAAATGGAATGACCCTATACAGTATACACACACCATTATATTATTTATATAAATTGCTTGTAAATATATATATACACAAAATAAAACAGCAAATATATATACACTATTTTTGAACAACAATAAAACCTAATAGCTAAAAATGCATGAAGTATGAAGACAAAGTTGTACAACCAGTTAAATGAGAAAAAAAAACATGCAAATCTTACCACTTTGGAGAAGCCATTTTGCATTTTGTTGACTTCCTGAAGGCCGAAGATGCCACGAGTTCGGTCCGAAATTCGACGAAGGTGTTCTTAATCCGTAGAATAAATTAACTCTAATCTAATCAAAATCTAATCCAATCTAACCTAATCTAATCACTTATTGCTGAAACTAATCCTATTCTCTGATCTAATCACCAAGTTAAGGACCGTTGGGGGAGTGGGGAACGCCTCCTCACATTTTTGGACATTTGTAATGAAATGTATAACAAATTATGTTGGTTGGCCAGCTTTGCACCTATTTTCACTGTTGCCAATCCTAAAACCCATTGAACATGGTGGTCCCAATTGGTCAAGCCAACACTAGTACTAGTCCCGACGCCAACATGGCTGGCAGTTGTAAAGCCTGGTTCACATATACCTGCGGTATGTCTGCAAAAGAATGTATGCATCAACAGCTGTGGGCAATGACAGCACAGGCACATATGTGAACCAGGCTTACAGAGTAAGCTGGGATGAGGTTCCCAAGTTTTGACCACCTGTACCTCCACACCCCCAACAACTTCAGACCACCAGCTACACTGGCTGGACCCTATGGGGAGTGGCCAATTCAGGAAAGGACTATTCACCTTGTTTTCAAGCATTTTAAAGCCAAGCAAAATTAAATGCAAACTAAAAACAAGGCCAAAAAGGTTGGGTAAAGTTTAAAGATGATGTACACTCCTGTGCACATGCGCAAACTTTGTTTACGTTTTGAACTGCTATATTTGTAAAATATGATATACTAACTGAATATCTAACACTTTTCTGGTTCGCTATACTTGTAAATGAATATAAACTATACGTTTCAATTCAAAAAAGTTTGAAAGATGTAAAATTTGGGTAATGTTTATATCTGGGGGTCCTCCTTTGCTATGAGCAAAACTGATGCGCAGAGCTGAGTGGACATCATCTTTAAATAAATCATCTCATAAACATTCAATTTCCCACTAAAAGTAGCCTGCGAACAGGCTCACTGGGAGAAAGGTGAGCCTGCACGGAACCATGCGTTTTATTCATTCATCCCCTTTTCGGGTTATCATTCCATGTTTCGCGCACCAATATAGGTTACGGTTAGGTATTGGAGTTAGGGGTTAGGTTAGGGGTTAGGTTTAGGGTTGGGGTTAGGGTTAGGGTGTGTATATATGTGTATGGAGGTATCTAGTGAACTTTTCAATACACTATGATATCCGTTACATAACGTTTACTATATTGGTGCGCGAAACCACGGTTAATAGAATTAGATGGTTAGGCTAGCTGGACCACGTGACAAATATGTTATTGTTCATTTTTATTTTTGGTCACGTGACGAGGAAAGGGGGTGCTTTGTGATGAGTGATTAGAAAAACATATGAGTGAGAACATAATACGCCAACAAAAGATCATATTTCAAAGCGCTAGAGGGCTTCTGAGATCAAGATGGAAATTGAAACAGAAAGCGAACAAACATACGAACCTAGTTTGAACGTTGGAGATGAAAATATCGAAGAAAGCGAGCGTCGTGAACAGTTTATGATCGAGGGGACGAAGGCTTTGTTTATACACCGCGTTTGGATAATTGTATTTTTGCCGTTGTTTTAATATGTCAGGATACGGTTAAACGTTTGAAGTAATATTGAACAGTATGGTTGGCTCTTCTAATTGTGCTTTGTATGCCTGTCCGACCAGCAGAACGCGTGAATTTGCAATTTTTAAAATCCCTGTTGTTGGCGCAGCCGATGTAGTCTGCGTAGGAGACTACAGCCGATGGTGAACAAGAAGAGAAATGCTCGCGAAGAATGGCTTCGAATTGTTTTAAAGGACTAGAGAAAAGACGGTAGATCTTCAGAAACAAATAAGATTTGTGAGCGTCATTTGAAGCCATTGTAAATTTTGCATTTTATGCATGCGCTTGTGTGATCAGATGTAAAGAAAGAGGGCATTGTATTTGCATATTTACATATCCCATGTCTATTAAATATCTATCTTCTGTAGACCCCAAACGAAAGATTTTATAACTGGTAGCGTACCTACAATAAACACGAAGTTCCCAAGGCTGAGCGTCGCATTCTCAACGTATAAATACCAGATAAACAACCTACGAATTACACACGTTTATAGTTCAGTGGCTGGCGAGGTGGCTGGTGTGTCCAGTATTGAAATTAAAACTGATGGCAGATTTAGATAATATGCAAATATGGAAAGTAGAAGAAATTCAAGATAACCTAGGAGGTCCAAGGCTCAAAAAGCAATTTAAAATGCAAAAAAAAACTTAAGTTTTTCACTATCATATGAAAATGGTTTATGCTTGTTTTGTTCCAAAAGTGGTATATTGCATGTAAATATTTTTTGTGGTCACTTGATTTTCATACCAAGATTGGTGAATTAAAGGCCATGATATTATATTATCTGGTATTCAACAGAAATAAAGTCAAATCAGGGTACATCAAAGTTTTAATGGGTTAATTAGGGGCTGATTACATGGAGCATTTTCAACCCTGGGGTTGTCTCCTACAGATCTACAGTTGGGACCTACGAGGCCTGGGCTGAACCCTCGCCCTTGTCTGTAATACAAAATGCTATCAAAATCAAATGCATGATTTCAAAATTTTCAATTCAGGGCCAAGTTCAACCCCGCTTCAGCTAGCAGAGTTAAATTTCAACCCCAGGTTGGACTTTGCCTTGGGTTGAAAATTTTATCATGTAATCGTTTCAACCCAGGGCTGAAATTATTCATGAGTTACTCAAGCATTTGATGAGGCTGGTTTTTGTTTTCACTTCCAGGAATGTATAGTATTTCAACCCTGGGGATGAGATTGTCCATGTAATCGCAAAATATTCAACCCAGTTATGTAAACATGGTTGAGTTCAAACCTGTGGTTAAAAGTGCTCCATGTAATCGTCCCCTTAGTGTGGTGTGATCCGCCTACTGTGGGGCAGGGCTGTACTGAATGGTGGCAGATTACCATAATTAAATCACTTCTATTTCGACCAGCCAAGAAGGTTTAATTAAAATCAACATACAATAATTATTGTATAATATATGATAAAATTATTGAATTATGGAAACAGTGTTCTGAACTTCTGTCAATCTTTAACAATTAAGAAGTTTATCAAGTTTTATATGTTATCGCATCCCCTTTCTCAATCACTCAATGCCTTTTCGTTGACTGCCTTTCATTAATTAATGCTATACTTTAAAGATGCGGTACAGTCCGTATGTAAACAAAGGCTTTGTTTACATTTCGGTATCCAAAATATTGAATTTTATTTCACAACTAGTTATATTTTCATGATTCTAGAAATTATCAAGAGACAACATTCAAGCTTTGCAAGAACATAAAATGAAATAAAAACCTAAATAAACTGTTTGTAAATAAAAAGAGGGCTCCTTTGTGCACATGCACAGATTGGACTGTACATGCCGCATCTTTAATAGTAATAAAGTCTCTGGTGTAGGAAAATGCTCCGACTGTTAAATAAAGTTTAACTATATTTTCCGTACAGTTTCTGTGCAGAGCTCGAGGGTTGAACTTCACGAAAAATCACAGCATTTTCCAACAATGCCGACATTCTGCTGGTGTAGTGTTTTATAAAAATCAGATCAAATATGCTCAGGAATATATTTGCTACTTTATAGTTCTCACAATTTTATAGCTGCTCACACAAACGAGGAATCAAGCCATATAAAAACATTCTAAAAGTTTATCTTGATTGTTCCTTGGACAGAATATTGTGTAAAGTGGCCATGCAAAGCATCGAACAAAGCATCAGTAGAGGAAACAGTAGCCAAACTGACCTGAATCGATGTAATATAATCAAACCACGTCCTCTAAATATAGTCAACGCAGCACGAGTTTTGTCTCTCCCTTTAGACTTGCACACTATCTCTCACTGACTAAAAGGAAAAACCCTCTCGCCATCAATTTCTTGTATAGCTTCGGTGAATTCAGCGTCTGTTTCGTCTAACTGTATTCCCGTTAATAGAGCAACAGACACATCAACGTTGTATAAATCCTCTGCGGTTGCATCGTCTTGCGATAAATGTCTTCGTCCTCTTATGCCTCGATCATAAACTGTTCACGACGCTCGCTTTCTTCGATATTTTCATCTCCAACGTTCAAAATAGGTTCGTATGTTTGTTCGCTTTCTGTTTCAATTTCCACCTTGATCTCAGAAGCCCTATAGCGTTTTGAAATATGATCTTTTGTTGGCATATTATGTTCTCGCCCATATGTTTCCCTAATCACTCATCACAAAGCACCCCCTTTCCTCGTCACGTGACACAAATAAAAGTGGTTCTCGACATAATTTGCCGCTCCCTTTGAAGTTTGCCGGCTAGCCTAACCATCTAATTCTATTAACCGTGGCGAAACATGGAACGATTACCCCTTTTCGCATCTGCTAAACGCTAACCAATCAGCGTCGACTGCGATAAATAAACTGTCAACTGTCAAATTGACGCAAGGCGTGTACATTGTGCAACATGAACAATAATAATACAAAGCATTAGCGGGCCGCACAATATATTACTCGGAAAAATATAGAATTCTTCAAATATTAAATAGATATCAATACACATACAAATATAAAGCCGAATAAACTACCATTGGCTTTGAATGTACAGTAATACTTGTACTATGTGCGACTGAAAGAACAATGTTCTGAATATTTTGAAGCTATTACTAAAATACGGTCAGATAGATTGGGAGTTGGAATACCGAATACGTTTAAAATTTTACTAACTGTGGTCTAAATAAATGATAAATGAGCATGTATTTATTAATTTCTTCGAAATCACGAGTGTGCCAATAGTGGAAGCCGTATCGACGACGAAATTGTCAGCAGTTAATATACAGTAAACAGTACAACGTTTAATGTACGATATATATTTATCTAAATGACATGCCAGCGAGGATCGACAATATAATTATTCGTACATATTTGGGTATCTTTTGTATGCCTTCGCTTGCTGACTTGCTCACTAATGAGAATAATCCGTGAAGCCACGACGACCTCAAAATGTACTATACTATGGTCTGATGTCAATCCGAAGACGAAGTTCAGAATACTGTTATAGTTTCGTATATTGGATTTAAGCGATAGATTCAAGTCATTTATGATAGACTTTTTTGCTGTGATGCTTTGCTATTGCTTTTGGTTTCCATTTCTAGTTTTATTTGTTCGATAGTCCTATAATATATAATATTAAAATGAATAAAGTTCAAATTCTTCAAAATGCTGTTGTTGACATTTGCTATTTTTAGTAATTTTGTCAACGAGTGTAAGCCAATCAGAAGCCTGCGTTTCTATACGAACGCCACTACCAAGAAAACCTATCATCCGTGCAGGCCCTCTATTCTTCGCGCCGCCCGCAACCCAGGGCCTGTTCGCAGGCTACACTAAAAGAAATACAACAACAAACATTCCACCAAATTGCATCGTACACATTATAATTACTAATCTTTATACAGGATAGTTACGATTGAGTATATGAATACTATCCTAGCATGTGCTAATCTAAATTAACCATTAAGTTGCAATGCACCCCACTTTGTAAAACTAATTTACTGTCTAATGCCAGATGATTTTACTCATAAAGGGAAAGCAATGGGTTAAAGAATATTTAACATTTAATATGGAAATAAACTTGGACCTAACACACCTACAAAGCTCAAACTATTGCTAGCAAATAAATACATAAAAAAGTTTTTGACTTGAACATTATCAACCAATTTTTGCATGCTTTTTACTAAATACATCGATAATTAAATCTTTTAAGTATTGAACTTCTTGTTGCTTGCTTTCAATCTTCTTCTGAAGTTCTTTATTCTCCCCCTCAAGTTCAAGGCACTTTGCATTCAGAATCTCTTGTTCGCTGCGTTTCTTAGAACGATACCTCGTTGCAGCATTTCGGTTTTGCATCCGCTTTCGCTGTTTTTGCTCGGGTGTTTTGACTTTGGCTTTTGGACCTTCGGGGGTGGAGTCAGACATTTTTCTTTTGGAAGCTTTCTGGGTGTCAACAGTCTCGACAATGAAGACGTCGTTCTCGGAGGGGTCTTCCAAAGGGCTATCCTCTTGGGCAGAGGTTTTAGCGGCTGCAAGGTAGCGATCGAGAAAGGCTTTGAAGATGACGTCTGCTTCCACATCCGGTACGTGTTGTTCAGGAGAGGATGGACCACACTCTTCTGGAACGGACTCATCGATACCGACAGAGCTAGTGTCTGTTAGATCAACCTTTTCAATGTCGAGGGGTTTGCCACTAAACAAGGCAGCAAGAATTGAGGGGGACTGGGTTTTTGTGTCAACCGTAGGCAAAAGGGCGATACTAGGCTGAATTTCATTGACGCCAACCAAGTTGAAGTTGCTGTCAAGTTGTTCTAAATCAATCTTTGACGTCATCCATTCATTGTCGAACAACGAGTCAACATCTAAAAAGAGAAACGGTACATATAAATGGATAATTACAGGACTGAATTCTGAGCAGCATGATCAATAGACCTTCCCCTTGTGAGTGAAATTTTGATCTGGAGAAGCCTGGACAAACATTTCATCACAGCTTGAAAGAGCATCACAAAATTAGTAATATTCCGAAGTTTCGTTGCGAAATGTTGTAAAATGCGAATAATATAGCCTTGTGAAGTTTGCCGTTTTTCAGTCATCTTGTATAACAAATGGGAAATTGGTAATCAGTTTGATCATCTGATTATCAATTTCCCATTTGTAATGCGAAGTGACTGAAAAACGGCAAAGTTCGCAAGGCTATATTATCCACATTTCGCAACGAAACTTTGGAATATTACTTATTTTGTGATGCTCTTTCAAGCTGTGATGAAATTTTTGTCCAGACTTGTCTAGATCAAAATTTCACTCAAAAGGGGAAAGGTCTATTGAAGTAGTTTTTTATATGTGTACTGTACTAAAATTATTTCGGCCAGTTTACGTTCTTTTACAGGAACCACGTTACGTTATAAAATCTTTTCTGGTCGCAGACATCATATGCAATATATATGGCCCAGCGTATTCAAAAATCATTGTTAATGTTATGACCAATTATACAATTTTTATACCTTCAAAGTCTGTACCGGAGCAGAAATTAACTGAGCCTCCATAGTCAGTTAATTTCTCTACCAATACATTATCAGGTTTCTGCACTTCTTGGAAGAGAGAAAAGCCCTCATCTTGGCCAAGCAACTGCGTGAACATGTCTGAATTTCCCAAATACTCTGCTTCGAACTCCATCTTGTTTGTGTAAAACTGTGTATTGTATTATAAAATCTTTGAACGTTGTGAAAATACTAAAAGAGAAAATACGGACACAATTTACTAAACATTTCACAGCCTTTCGTACTCTATTAAAACTATAACGTAAACAGAAACATTTTAACTAAAATTTAATAGAAAATGATACAGCTTTCCCACAAAAAAAGCGTTTTAAAACAGCAATTTATTATGACGCCACATGAAGCAAAACTTCGCGTTTCTAGAAGGGCGCCAAAGGGCGCGTAATTTAGTGTTCAAAAATCTTAAAATCTGTACATAAAACACTTGTACTTACGCCATTTTGTTAACGTTAAGACGTGCGGAAGGCACGGTCGGGATTTATTGAGCCATTGTGTCAAAAAAAACAAATATTTAACACGAAGAAACTTGAAGAAATCTGACGAAATCGAGTGCTCGCCGCGTGTTCTTGTCCAAATTTCTTGGCTGATGCAACACTTTTCAACAAGACGTCATTTCTGACCAATCAGAGAGGGCGAATAGTTGCATCCAACCAATCAGATCCTAGGAAGAAACAGGTAAAACTAGTTTTGCTAGTATTCTGAACTGGTTGAAAGCAGTCATAGAGAAGCAGTCACAATGTGTACTTTGTACTGTTCCTCTGTCGCATAACGGAATCAGGAAATTACGCAATGGAAAATATTCTAATTGAGTACAATTGCAATATAACGCGCATTATCTATGTTAGTCAACGTCATGTGCGTACTATTGTATTTTTGCCCAACTACACTACACATACAAAAATTTCACATCTTGCATGTAGCAAGTCCACCAACAAGCTGTCAACAAGTTGTGTTTGCACTGCTTGTCCCAAGTTGTCAACAAGTTTGGAACAAGCTGTTAACAATTTGTAACAACCTTATTGATATTATCAGACTTGTTGCAAGGTTGTTCCAACACGTCCGATACAGTCATGGTACAACAATATTGTTACAACCTTGTAACATTCTTGTTATATCATGACTGTATCAGACTTGTTAGAATAACCTTGCAACAAGTCTGATAATGCCATCAAGCTTGTTACAAGTTGTTAACAGCTTGTTCCAAACTTATTACAACAACTGGGAACAAGCTGTGTGAACACAACTTGTGACCAGATTTGTAACAACTTGTTTTCAGACCTGTAACAACTTGTGCATTTTAACCTGTGTAACTGCTTTCATTTCTATCACCTATGATGACAGTTGCAGGCATAGAGTGTAAAGTCGCCCAGAAATAAAAGACGATCACATACAATCAAATTAGGCAAGTAAATATAATTTTAAAAAATAAAATTCATTACAAATTATACTGTGTAGTATATTCAAAAATTATATATTTACTATACACTAATACACCTCTGGGCTGCTGTGGTTTACAGGCAATGAGATCATAAAACCACCTCTTAATTTATTTGGAAAGGAGATTACTTGAAACTTATTTAATGTCTATATTAAATCAGTAACTGCAGTATTATTAAATGGGCAACAATCAATCAATAATTAATTAGGACTTACAGTAAATCAAGATTTTAGTATTAATCAATAAATGACTAATACAGTCATAATACGATATTTTCTACTGGATCTTTGAAGTATGTCAAAAAGAGTTGAATAAGAATAAATTAGAGTCATGATCGATAGAATAGATTATCAGTTGATCGATTTATTTATAATCGAATAGTCAAATGTTCCTACCTGGGTTCAGTCCATCACTCCATGACTCCATGTCGCAATTTCGAGAATTTGGAATATTTTATATTTGGAATAATTATACTGTAATAAATGTGACAATTTTGTGCATATACTGATATACATAATCAAACGACCGTATCACAGAATAAACCGTATTTTTGTGGAAAGGGGACAGGTAATTATTCTTTGCTTTAAATATTTATTGTTTATTTGGAATTGTGGTTTGAAATCTCTAGGTGAACCGATTCCCGTTTCGGCGTTCTGTACATAATTTTGTGTACAAATGCACTATTAAAACACGCAATATAACACACTTGGAAATTTAATGAATTTCATACAGAATTCATACGTATTTTTGAGTATTTTAGTAGTAATATTGAGTATTTTAGTAGTAATATACTGAATACAGACAATTCGGGAATTTTTTTACAGTAAAAAGAGGCTTTCTTTTAAAATTTCCGGTTTGCGTGTGGCGTGTTTATATTTTGTCAATTGCGTTCGAAGAAAACTCGTGCTTTTACTGTAATTACCCAGCAAAACTGGTCAAATAATTTGCCTTTGCTTCGCCAGCTACGGTAATAAGGGATACCTGTATGTTTGTAGTTTTTTGGTCACAAATATAAAAGAAGTTAGGAGTTAATACGAACAAGGAAAGTTGTCGACTCGAATGTTTATTCTATAATCGCTCAGTTGTTTTTGCTTTAAATTGCTTTGAAGCTTACTTGTGGTGGCGTATAACTGCAAGTGGTGTTAATCAAATCAAATTATTCCATATATAGGAATTTTAGACCTTTATTGTAAAGTTGTTTCTATTAAAGCGTTTTGAGTAATTTGCAAGAATGTGCAATATGATACTTTTAGATTTACAGGCTGTTTTATTAACTTGATTAATGATTAATTTATATGACAGCATGTGTGCTTGCACGCCCCCATTGTCCGGATGGCTTTCAGGCTTTGTAAATTCCAACAAATTCCCACAGTAATTCTTGCTTTGCACTTGTCATTATGGCAGCCGTGTTAGAGGAACGCTAACAAAAGATTGAAAAGAATAAGGATTGATAGGAATGAAACTACCTGAAAAATACAAGGAGAACTTCAACATCTTGAGTAAAGGCTCTTCGTTGGGGAGCTCCTGTAATTTTCCCAACTAACTTCATGACGGTAGTTGCATCATAAGTTCTTTGTATGTTTGCATGGCGATAAAACATATAATAGTTTTGTTTGTGGAAACACCACGTAAATTTATTACTGCAAAGCTTTCAATTCGTAAGCCTGGATCTTCATCAGTGCATATTATTAGCACTGATGAAGATCCAGGCTTACGGATCGAAAGCTTTGCAGTAATAGATTTATTATAATATTACATATTATTAGCACTGATGAAGATCTGGGCTTACAGATCGAAAGCTTTGCAGTAATAAATTTACGTGGTGTCTCCACAAACAAAACTATTATATGGTAGTTGCATCCCTTATTAAAATCGGAACCTTTCTTATTACTGGCGCGACACTGGCACAGATTATAACAAAAGAATATCATATATTAGCAGCTATTGTATTTGGAGTAGAGGTGTGCATCGGATCAAATTGGAGGTTTACAATCTGACAATTGGTCATTTTTCGAAATCCGATCCAAAATTGTCTGATCCGAATCCAATCCGAGTTTGTTTTAAGCGTAAATTAAACCACCCCCTTGGGTGGTTTGCCCAGCAGAATAAATAGTCTTTGTATTCCTGGAAAAGACCTAATAAATTAAACTTTCCAATCAAGTGTATAACTGTATATCAATGTCAATGTTTTAATTTCTAGATTCTAGACCCTAGTCTGTGCAGAAGCCAGAGTTTTCTTCAAGGGGGTGCTGGACACCACTAGGGTGGGGGCACACCCCCTGCACTCCACTGGTAGATCCACCCCTGCTTGATTGGAAAATATAGTGGTTACTGTTGGTTAGTAAAACCCATCTATAAGACATAATTTTTCTATCTTAGTTAGCTAAATCACAAGATGTATAACCGCATGTCTGAGCCTGGTTTTGATGATAAAAGTGGATATCCCCCACCTGGGCAAGAACAGGGCCCACCTCCCTACTCGCAACCTGGCATGGGACCTGTGCAACCAGTGCAACAACAACCAATGCAACAACAACCAATGCAGCAACAACCGATGCAACAACCTGGGCACATGATGCAAAGCAGTAACACCAATACGACCGTTGTGATACAGCAACAACCAGCGCAGGTTGTACTTCAAGGACCGCGGGCATGGAGCACTGGCATTTGCTCTTGTTTTGATGATTGTGGTGTCTGTAAGTTTATTATAAGTAATAGCACAAAAAGAGGCGAATTAGCTATTAAAACGTCCCGCCCAATGAGGGTCGTTTAGTAAAATTCCCTTGGACGCCGCTCGATGAGGGTCATTTACTAAATGACCCGAATCAAGCGGTGCCCAAGGGAATTTTTCTAAACGACCCTCATCGGGCGGGACGTTTTCAATAGCTAATTTGCCTCTTTTTATGCTTGCCTATTACCTTATAATATCATGATTGCGGGTATTCCCGTTGTTCTCGCTGGGCCATTAAAAAACAATTAACAATAAATAATGGTATAAATTAAATGGTATAATTGTTTTCCATGTCTTTGTTTAGTTTTGGCTATTTCAGATATCTTTTATATTCATTTTTTCTAATCGTACCCGCTTTGATGTCGTTTCGGGTAGGATTAGAACTAATTCTACCTGACATGACGTAAAAGCGGGTAGGATTAGAAAATATGAATATAATGAGGTGTATTAGTTTTTAATTGCCCTGCGAGAACAAAGGGAATACCCGCAATCATGATATTATTATATTTTATCTTTGTATAAAGGATCGAGGCAAACTGAGTCAGACAGGGTGTGATAATTTGTGTACTTATTATATGTACCATATTTTGTTAACTTTTAGGTCTTCTTGGCTTGTGCTGCCCGTGCATTCTTCAATGCACCATTAGTAGTAATGCTGGTGAGTGTTGTTGTGTTGCCGCCATGTGTCCAATTGCCCTGAGAACCAAGATCAGGATGAGACATAACATTGCAGTAAGTGATGGCTCTTTCTTGTCCTCTAGCAGTCTCATATGATTGGGTGGTTTGAATTGCAAGTACTGTCTTGCGTCACAACACCAAAGTGCCTGGGTATACGAGGCAGAGCAGTTTAGGACTGATGAGATTTAATTAGAGCATTAATAGGTTTTCAACTGTAGCCTGGTAACATTTAAACCAATAAGAGAGATATATTATCCATACTGGTAGCATTCCAGTATAAATAAAGTTATCTATTTCACTTTTTATTTCAACAGGGAAGTATTATGGATGACTGCTGTGTACTGGCATGCTGTGGGATCTGTGCATTGTGTCAAATGGCCAGAGAACTCAACATTCATGGAATTTAACCAGCAATATAAACGACAAACTTTTTATCTTTTAATTTTTTTGTAATGGGACATATTAGTGTTGTTTAGAGTCTAAGATTGTAATCATTCAAGATAATGCACCTATCAATTGACACCCCGACCCCCCCCCCCCAACCCTGGGACATAGTGGGGCAGGCAATGTGGGGAATTTTATGGTATTTGACTGCATTTTTTGCCCGTGGAGGTCGGGGATTTGTCGGGATTTGCCTTTGAAAATTTCCCCTTGGGAAGTAGGGGTGGGGATTTGACTCACTCCCAATTTACTATATATGTTTCGTTGTACCATTGACTATTGTCAATTAGTATTTTTGCACAAGTGAACATAACAAATCCTACAAGTTGATCGGTCAAATTTGACGTATTAAGATGTTATATTCACATACAGGTTTCAAAACGGCAGCTAGCCGTTTTGTGGAAGCTACCGATAGAGAAATAAGCAAAATTAAAATAAATTCAGTCCCAAAAAACACAAAACACTATATTTGCATGAAGTGTGTACTTTTATACAGAACTTTCAGTTTAAAAAAATGGTAGTTTTGTTAGATTACCCCTCCAGGGTGGGGGGTTTTGGAGGGTTTTTGTGGCAAACATGCCTGGGTAGGGTGGGGGTTTATACACTTTAGAACCAATGTGAAATCAAATCCCCACTATGTCCCGGGGTGGGGTGGGGGGGTCGGGGTGTCAATTGATAGGTGCATAATGTTCGAGATAATTTGTTGTACCCGTATCAAATTGTAGAACCAATTACCAACAGCCTCTAAATGTGAGAATGTAATTTCTGGGTCAGTACTCATTTCCAACCACCAAACAGACAAGACAGCATTGTCGGAAGAGGTGTTACATGGCTGTGTAACTAACCCAAATGCTACCCTAACCCCAACGGCAACCCTAACGGCCTAACCAAATTACCATCGCTTGCAACTAAGGATGAACGGTCACAGATAAAACATTGTCTATTCTCGTGACAAAGTTAAATGTTTTTACCAAGAAAGTTCAATGTTTGTCAAGAGCACTTGACAGGTTTTAATCTGATCAGCCAATCATGTTCAACCAGCTCCAAGCTGATTGGCTGAGCGAATTGAAACCGTCAAATGATCATCACAAACATTGACCTTTCTTGGTAAAAACTTTGTCATGAGAATAGACAATGTTTTATCTGTGACCGTTCATCCTTAGTTGCAAGCGACGGTCAAAAATTGAGAAAATGGCATACCATCAGTAATCAGTTTGATGGTTGAAAACGAGTTAATTGCCTATTTTCTTCTGGATATTTGGGGCAGATGTCAAAAAAAGTTGAACATGAATAAATTAAAGTCATGATCGACAGAATGGATTACACTATCATTTGATTGATTGATTTATAATCGATTTGCTTGGCACATGTGTTCCTACCTGGGTTCTCTGTGTCGCAATTTCGAGAATTTGGAATAATTTAGAATAAAATATCTTGTTGTTCCGAAGGCCATATTTTTTTTGGAGAGGGAAATAGCAACCAACACTAATAGGTAACTATCCCTCTAAATATTTATTTTTTATTTAGAATTGTGGTTTGAATCACGCACGATTATCTGTAGGCGAACTGAGTCCTTTTTTGTACATTCGAACAGGCTTTTAAACACCCACGCTAAATGCCTGATATAAATGCGAAATAAACTTTATTCTGTGACTTTGCGCAAATATAAACACGTAATACAAATATATAAAATACATAGAAATTTAATGAAGTTCCATAGAGGATACATGCGTGAAATTGAGTATTTAGTATTAAATACTGAATAGAAAGGGAAAATTAAAATTTCTAGAGGCTTTAAAATTTCCGGTTTGCGTGTTCAGGGATCGAACAAAATTCGTGCTTCTAATACTGTAGCAAAAATGTACTACATACGCCATGGTATACATATTTTGTAGTTTTTACTCACAAATATACCAGTAAAAGTTTTTAGCTTGTATAACTGCCTATATTCTTCAAATAGGCTTATCATTGATCGCGTACAGGTGTAATTATTAGAGACCTTAAGGATTGACGTTTACGGCAAACGTCAAACCGCTAGCGAAGTTTTTGATTTTACAGCTCTATTATTGTAGCTTTTACACCAGTTTTGAAATATGTTAAACTGATTAAACTTCTGCTCTTTAGCAATGATTTAAGAAAGAAAATTAACCACTAGTCATGCCATTCACCAAAGCAGTAAATTAAGATTTGGCGTTTGAAGTTGACGTTTGACGTATAAATTTTATGCTTTAACGACTACAAGCCCTCGTAGCAGTTCAGGCATGAAATCTATACGCCAAACGCCAACTTGAAACGCCAAATCTTATTTTACTGCTTTGGTGAATGGCATGACTAGTGGTTAATTTTCTTTCTTAAATCATTGCTAAAGAGCAGAAGTTTAATCAGTTTAACATATTTCAAAACTGGTGTAAAAGCTACAATAATAGAGCTGTAAAATCAAAAACTTCGCTAGCGGTTTGACGTTTGCCGTAAACGTCAATCTTAAGGTCTCTAATATTTTTTCTTAGCCTGACTTTTAATATTTATATTAAAAAGCCTGGTTTTCACTGGCGACATAAGCATATTAAGCACATGCTAAGACAAAACAAAGAAAATTAAGAAATGCAGTGAAGTGTGCTACGTACGTAAACATCGAGATGAAGTGCAGGAAGTAAATATAATATAAAGCATATTAGCACAAGACTCCAAGCGCAAGCTAATGTAGAACGAAAGCTGCAAATTCAAAGGAAAATTCTTTCTTTTTTGCCTTTGAATTCCTCAGAGTAACATTCATGCTTAATATAGACTTTGAATATAGACTTTCTTGTGTTATTATAATGACCGTCATTAATAACACAAACACGCAAGCTGTTTAGGCAATATATTGTACTAGTCTTTTAACGTTTTTATTGGTAATAAAAAATGGTCTAATTAATAATAACATTAAAGATTATTTTGGCTTATGTATAGTTATGTTGAATTGATCATATTACTTTAGCTCAAGACTCCCAAGATGTATAACCGCATGTCCGATCCTGCTTTTGATGACATGAGTGGTATGCCCCAACCCAGACAGGAGCTGGGCTACCCTCCATTTTCGCAACCTGGCATGGGACCTGTGCAACCGATGCAACAGCAACCCATGCAACAACCTGGGCACATGCACAGCAGTAACACCAATACAACCGTTGTGATACAGCAACAACCAGCGCAGGTTGTACTTCAAGGACCGCGGGCATGGAGCACTGGACTTTGTTCTTGTTTTGACGATTGTGGTGTCTGTAAGTTTATTTTATTATCATACTTTCTAGTCTTCAATCCATCCTGATCGTGTAGCTCAGTTGGTAGAGCATCGATCTAGTAATTCGAAGGTCACAGGTTCGAAACCCAGCCGTGCTGCGCAGAGTTTTCTGCTTGCATAGTCTGGAAATTATGAAATATCTCGCCCATAATTTCTCCAAACATTTTTGCTATATATACACATAGCATCTCATGTACATCAGTCCTGTCTGGGGGAACAGCGGTTTCCCCATGTTTGAGTTTTGTCCAGTGGCGCCGCCAGCTCGATAATTGGGGGGGGGGGGTCAAATATTCATATATTTGTGTTCACAGACCATAAAAACAATCGATTTCAAAAGAAGTTAAAAATGCACACACAAAGATATGAATATTCGCGCCGCCCCCCCCCCAATTATCGAGCTGGCGGCACCACTGGTTTTGTCACTCAGGGGGAATGCCGTTCCCCCAGTGAAAATAGTGGGAGGAAAATCGATTTTGTTTTTAGGTCTTATGGCAATATGCTGCCCATTGATACTTGAATGCACTGTCAGTGGTCATGCTGGAGAATGCTGTTGTGTCGCAACTGTTTGTCCAATTGCCCTAAGAACCAAGATACGGACAAGGCATAACATTGCGGTAAGTGATGACTCTTTCTCGTCCTCTTGGCAAAACAGTTTAAAAGTGATAGAGCTATACAGGTGGCGCGAATACCTCTCTTTAGGGGACTTAATTGTTAAGAACATGGCCACCAGATATGCGCAGTAAAAACTCCCTTACGTTTTTCTCTTGAAGTGAGACCTCTGTATGTTTAGTACTCTATGGCCTTACAGACTTACAGTCCCCTAGGGAGAATAGTTTAGATAAAGTTATTTATTTATTTCACTGTGTATTTTGACAGGGAAGTATCATGGATGACTTCTGTGTGGTTGCATGCTGTGGACCCTGTGCAATGTGTCAAATGGCAAGAGAACTCAATATTCACGGAATCTAACCATCAAACATAAACAACAAACTTTTTATATCTTTTAATAAAACTTTCTGTAATGGAATATTAAGTATTATTTAGAATCTAAAATTGTAATTGTTGATTAGATAATTTGTTGTGCCTATATCAAATGGTAAAACCAATAAACAAATGTATGTATAATTTAGTGTGGTTATGTTACCAGGAAGTTTCATTGTAGTGGTAGTATGTTGCACTGATAAAAATCTTTATTTACAGTTTAAAAAACGTAAAATATAAATCAAGCTTTCGGACTAAGCGTCCATCGTCAGGATTAAAATGGCAAAAATGATCAGTCGCTTAAATACTATTTACATGTCAATGACCTAACTAAAATACTAGGTTTTTTGAATAATTAGACTAAAAGACAAAAGAGTCATAATAGAGTCATATAAGCGTAATATAGAGTCAACAAAAGAGCCATAATAAGACACTGGATAAAAGAGTCATAATAGCGTATTATAGCGTCAACAAAGCATTATTTAGTCTTTATCAATTAGCGTTCTAAAAACTTCCGGCAATGTTCTGCCATTGTCTCTATTGGCAATGGCACTCTTCTCATTTTCCATAATCCAGGCTTCCTTCCATTTTCTATGCGACCACCGACTTTCCTTACATACTACCTTGGTATCATCCCACACAATGCGATGATCATTGTCAACTACATGTTCTGCCAAAGCTGAGTTTTCCACCTTCCCATTCTTTACACTTGCATGATGTTCTTTTATTCTTGTTCCTAATGCACGACCCGTTTCACCAATATATTTAACATCACAATCCTGGCAAGGGATGGAGTAAACGACGCCTGTTTGATCTAAGTGAGGTAACTTATCTTTGGGCTTCATTAAATAATTTCTAAGCGTTGAAACCGGTCTTATTGCAACATTAATATTATGTCTCTCTAATACTCTCTTTATTTTCTCTGTAGTTCCTTGAACAAAAGGAAGTACTGCCATACCTCTCGCCATTTCCGTTTCTACTGCCTCATTATTATCCATATCAGCTTCTTTCTGTTTCATCTTTCTCCTGACCTTCAATAAAAAATCTTTGGGATAACCATTATTCTGTAAAGATTCAAAAACATGTTTCTCCTCTTTTCTTCGACTCGCTTCGTCTGAACTAACTTTGTCTGCTCTGTAGTACAACGACTTGGCAACGGATGTTTTATGTTGGAGAGGATGATGTGACGAGAAGTTCAGGTATCGGTCCGAATGTGTTGCCTTTCTATAAACCGACGTCTTAATGGACCCATCTGACTCAACAACATTTAACGTATCCAGAAATGGTATACCCCTGTCCTCATAATGTTCGATGGTAAACTGTATATGAGGATTTTGCGAGTTTAAGTGTTTATGGAAATCATTAATACTAGACTTCTTTACCGCCGAAAGTGTATCATCAACAAACCTATAATACATCCTTGGACGTTGTGGGAAGGTATCTAATGCTTTAGTATCCAGGTGTTCCATTACTAGATTTGCCACCACGACTGACACTGGCGAACCCATCGCAATTCCGTGAATTTGTTTGTAAAAATTTCCCCGGAATTGAAACTCCGTCGAATTCAAACAAAAAGCCAATAGTTCAATAATATCTTGAGGCATAAGCGATGTCCTTTCCCTTAGAGTAGGGTCGTTCTCCAATCTATTCAAAGCAACATCTAACGCAAGGTCGGTAGGAATCGAGGTAAATAGGGATATAACATCAAATGAAATAAGCTCCTCATCATTGTTCAATTTCCATTGTTTAGCTTTATTTACCCACTCGTACGTATTGCGGATATGATATTCAGTCTTACCAACCAAGGGTGAAAGAATCAGCGATAAATACTTAGATAATTGGTATGTCGTGGATCCGGAAAAACTGACTATCGGTCTCAAAGGGTTATTATTCTTATGGATCTTAGGCAACCCGTATATCCTCGGTGTTGGGCCGTCAGTTGTCTTCAACTTCTTAAGTAATTTATCATCCATTCTCTCCGCTTTTGATGAGAGAAGCTTTTTCATCTCTTTTTCACATACATTCCTTGGGTCTTTCTTGAGCTTCTTGTACGTCTGTTGGTCATTTAGCATGTTCAATATCTTCTCGTCATACTCCGTCCGGTCCATTACTACAGTTCTATTGCCTTTATCAGCCTTCAGAATGATAATACTCTCATCTGCTTGCAAACCCTTTAAAGTTTGTCGTTCTACCTTAGACATATTATCCTTCGGAAGCCTCGCTCTTTTCAGACTGTTGCTCGTTTCCATTCTTATTTCCGCTTTGCTTAGATCATCCAAATTCCAAATAGCATTTTCAATTTCAGCTATCATATCCATAGTGGGTATTTTTCTAGGTGTTGGGGCAAACTTCAAATCCTTACACAGAAGAGAAACCTCATCTGTAGTGAATGACTTAGTAGAAAGGTTTACAAGCCATTTCGATTCCCGATTTACATATCTCGCTTCGTTGCTTTTTACCTTCTGCCAATTTTTAAGTTTAGTTTGATGCTTCCCGATTGTTGTTGCCTTCAGATCTCCCAAATAGCCAACGAGTTCTCTTTGAAGTCTACGCCATAATCGCTCTCCACGCGTATTCCTGATTGTATTCTCAAGTGGCATAAGGTCCCTCTCAAACTTGCGAATGCGCTGATGGTTTTCTGTAATTCGCAACCTCAACATATTCTGACCATATTGTTGGGCTAGAGCATGACCTTTTACCGTATTTACTGCAGGCTTTACTCGTAATGATGGCGGAAGAACGTTCAAATCTTTACAGCGATGGTTGAAGTGTAGATGGCATCTTTGCTTAACTAAATTTGCATTAACAGTAAACAGTTTTCGAGCGGACTGAAATAACACTTTTCCATAATCTTTATATATATAATTTAGTGTAGTTATGTTACCAGGAAGTTTCATTGTAGTGGTAGTATGTTGCACTGGTAAAAATCTTTATTTACAGTTTAAAAAACGTAAAATATAAATCAAGCTTTCGGACTAAGCGTCCATCGTCAGGATTAAAATGGCAAAAATGATTAGTCGCTTAAATACTATTTACATGTGGGATGATACCAAGGTAGTATGTAAGGAAAGTCGGTGGTCGCATGGCAAAAATGATTAGTCGCTTAAATACTATTTACATGTGGGATTATACCAAGGTAGTATGTAAGGAAAGTCGGTGGTCGCATAGAAAATGGAAGGAAGCCTGGATTATGGAAAATGAGAAGAGTGCCATTGCCAATAGAGACAATGGCAGAACATTGCCGGAAGTTTTTAGAACGCTAATTGATAAAGACTAAATAATGCTTTGTTGACGCTATAATACGCTATTATGACTCTTTTATCCAGTGTCTTATTATGGCTCTTTTGTTGACTCTATATTACGCTTATATGACTCTATTATGACTCTTTTGTCTTTTAGTCTAATTATTCAAAAAACCTAATATTTTAGTTAGGTCATTGACATGTAAATAGTATTTAAGCGACTAATCATTTTTGCCATTTTAATCCTGACGATGGACGCTTAGTCCGAAAGCTTGATTTATATTTTACGTTTTTTAAACTGTAAATAAAGATTTTTACCAGTGCAACATACTACCACTACAATGAAACTTCCTGGTAACATAACCACACTAAACAAGTTTATGTTGTTGCTACGGAGGAACTCTGATACCATAAATGCTCTCTGCTGCGGGGTAAATTGTGGCATCGCCATTTCAAAGTGTACGGGGTATTATACGAGAAAATGCGTTTCAGCACAAACAACTCGAAAGCACAAATTCCATGGAAATTCCATGTAACTCTCATGGGAGTAAAAATGAATTCATAATGAAGCAAGAACAGCACCAACGGAGAAAAATGCAACGTTTTCATAAGCTTTTCGGAGAATTTGTACACTGTAAAATCCTGCCGAAATTTTATCATAAATGCAACAAATAGCGAACTTTTCATACATGAACTCAAATAAAGAATACTGTTTGTCATTTCCGTGCGCAAGCCACTTTTAGGGGAGCAAAAGTTGACCACCCCCCTGGATAGCAAAATTTACTATTTTCAAATTTTTTTATATTTTCCATAATTTAAGAACTGAAGCAATCCACCAGGTGATCTCGTGTTCGTATTTTAGCCAATCAGCGCTCAGAAAGGGTTGTCCGAATAGAAATCCATTTCGATGTATTCAGTCAATTATATCTTTCGTTATTCTTTATGAAACTAGTTGAAATTTTGTAATTATGTTTGGTTATGAGAACTATAGCTCTGACAAAAATATGGAATCGAAATAAAGTATATTACAGGAGATATTCAGTTGTTTTAATCACAAAATGGATTTCTATTTGACAACTAGTGCCAGTACTTTTCCGCGTATCAAGATCATCTGGATATATAGCAAAAATTACATTTCATGAACAGAATTGTGGAATTGAGAGCAATTTCAAAATTGTCTTACTTTTTTTGATACACCCTGTATATGACCATAGTTTAGCTGTTAGCGTCGTTCATTGACAATATTTGGTATACACACGTCAAAGGTTATAGATTGGTAGTCAAAAGCTTGTAACAGATAAACATTTACAGATCAGCGAACGTTTCTGAAATATGTTTCACCCTGGCTGCGCATCATCCACGGGCTTTAGGACAAATTCAATTCGACAACAATAGTATTCTATCTAAATAGCAGTTAAAATAAAGTGTACGGCACCTGAACTGTTCAATATCTTGCTTCTGTATCCATAAAACATTTACATATATGCAAATACTGACATACTGTATTTTTTCAAAATTCGTCATATTTATTTACATTAGAACCCAAGCTTTCGCGGTTCACACGGAATATTAACGTTGGTGATTTTCACTAATAATAAGAGGGTAGGATCATCCAATTATTTAATCGTTCGAAGCGCGAGGAAACCATGCTTCCATATATGGCACAAACGTGTCCCCAACTTCCTTATATGGCACAAACGTGTCCCCAAAATATTTTATCAAAGTCGTTATGATGTCGTAAGATTCCTCCCGCCCGGAACGATTTGAAAAGGTCACGTGGTACAGAACCCAGACAGCTGATTGGTTTAGCGAGTGACAACGCCCACTTCAATCCTACCCTCTTATTATTAGTGAAAATCACCGACGTTAATATTTCGTGTGAACCGCGAAAGCGTGGGTTCTAATGTAAATAAATATGGCGGATTTTGAGAATATACAGTATTTGCATATATGTAAATGTTTTATGGATACAGAAGCAAGATATTGAACAGTTCAGGTGCCGTACACTTTATTTTAACTGCTATTTAGATAGAATACTATTGTTGTCGAATTGAATTTGTCCTACAGCCCGTACGTGCATCATCTACTATATTTTTCACTTTTAATTATGTTCGGGACAGTTGCTTTCAAGCTTTTCAATACATTTAGATGAAAACTCTGTACGTTTCATTCTTTGGCAACAGTTTGGCTGAAGTTACATGCCAATTCATAGCACCGGCGCACTTAATATCTATCGGAAACATCATGCTTATAACCAATAGGTGGCTTTCGTCATGCTACAGTACAGCTCGATCACATATAGAGGGTTTGCAAAAACAAATCTCATTAGAATCTCATTACTTGCTCTCCATCTGCTTTTGTGATAAAGCCCCTGGAATACTTGAAAGCCACCTATTTCGTGTTTTTTTGCATGGCACGTACGGACGTGTGCTTTTCGCTCCAATAATGACATCTATATTAAGAATATTCTGTACTGTAACTTTTGCTTAACGAAGAACAAACTGAAATGGTTAGGGGCGCTAGAAGACTTGAAAGCATTTGTGTTAACGGAGATTGACGAAGATAAACAGCAGAAAACACGAACTGGTGATCTCCCAGCGGCGGATGCTGGAAATTTGAAAGTGAGTTACTATAATATTGGTTCAGATATTGCCAAAAATATCGATAATGGTGACAGAAATTTTGATATGATCGTTTTGGAAGCCGAGATATTTAACTTTAACCTCGCCTGTTCCCAACAGAAAATTTATTAATAACGCTTCCTGTAATGTGTAATCAGAGCAAATTTGATCAATCAAATTACATTCAATACCGCTTATTTGACTTATCGTTTGACTAATCAATCGTTGGTTCAATGTGCAACTATTGATCGACGTTTGCATGCTGGAGTGTAATAGAGTTTTGATTGCGTGATTGGAAGTGGAAGGAAGCGTTTTCGCGCTGGGAAATAATTTAAAAAGCTCAAGCCAAATTTTTTTTAAAATACCTTTTTTTTTACGTTAGTCGCTTGACTGATCTGACAACCCCTAGATCCGCCCCTGCACTGTTATAAATTGCATTGTATTTATTATTAATAATAGCTGTTGCCGACTTGTTAGCTAAAGCCTGGTTCTTCTCATTATTCGGCGATGTTTTATGATCCATTGTCTGTGAGCAACGAAGAAGAAAATGCACAAACATCAATGACCACAGACAATGGGCATCGCGGCCATCGCCAATGTTTACGATAAATGATAATCAGGCTTAAAGCTACCGATAAGTACAGGAGAGACGTAGTAACGTAATAAAAACATCAGTGACCCAATCGAGGCTTGCATATATGGGTTCAGAAGTAACTGCATGATTCAGACGCTGCATAGCTCTGATTATGATAGCAATATACAATTCTCTGGTGTTCTGTAAGCATTTACATTCTACGCATCAACGCATTTTCACTGTTAGGAAGAGCTAGCCTATCGTTGCTCTCCCTTTATGGCCTCAATTTCTGACCGTGACTGATGCACCTTGCGTGACAGACAGTCAGCTCGACATACAACACCTAGATCTATGTTGCAGTTTTCGCAACCGTTTCTGGTTACGTCGTAAATTGTGTGTATATATGCTCACTTGCATGGATTATCCATCAAACCAGTATCAGAGGAGAGAGTATATAGTTCGCTTATTTTCACAAAATCATTGCCTAAATTGCTTTCAAGCATTTCAACTTATTTACTTTTAAATTAAATTAAAACTCCTTCTCTATTCTTTATTCCTTGTCAGAGAGTCGGTCTCCATGGCCTTTCATAGCTCCGCTTTATCAATATCTAACGGAAAATTAATGCTTGAACAATTTCCTTGCCCGGTATTGTCCTCATGGTTGCGACAAATGGCTTATTCTTGACGAGTGCTTATCGCGTGATAAACCAAACAGTGGAACTTCAAAGAGTACGTATTATTTTAACCATTTTTTTAAACTTCTGCTACAAAGCGTAACGCTGCTAATAACGCTGCTGCTCTAGAAAATACCGCGCATATATATTCATTACTGCAAATCTTTTGATTCATTATCAGGACCGTAGCGAAGAGGCCAAAGCAGGGGGGAGATGTAGTATCGTATTTGCCGACAACATTCAGCCGCTAATTAATATTTTTCCCCAAAAAATGGTTGGCGAGCGGGGGGGGGGGATGGGGGAGGAAGAAGAGGTAAAAAATTTTCCGGACATACAATTATAGGCGTCATATAGGCTTTATCAAAAGGTGGCTTTCGTCGTGCTACGGTACACCACACATAGAGGGATTTACAGAAGAGAGTCACATTAGAATTCGATCTCATTAGAATCTCATTACTTGCTCTCCATCTGGCTTTCGTGATAAAGCCTCTGGAATTGTCGTTAATTGCGACATACTGGAACTGCAACACGCTCCACACTTATCTCTTTATCATAATAATAGCGAGGGACAATCTTTGACACAATACTAGAAAGTTGTATTTCAACGCTTTTCGTGTTCAAGCCAATCTACACGATACTGCTAGTCGTATACGATTCGTATCCTAGCGTACGTACTCGAATAAATGCGTGTAAAGATGTCACATTTCAAATTTCGCCATAAATTGATCAACAGAACTAGTGGCGTTAGCAGGCGTTTTCATACGCCAAAATGTCAACCACATACGGCTAGTCGTATCGCATAAATCACAAAAATGCGGCAGTCTTATATAATACTAAATAGGGGTACAAAGTACGTAGTTGCTAACCAATTTTAATTAAAGCGTGCATGGTGATGCATGAGGGGAAAGTCAAGGGGCGTAACAAGTAACGCTTACACAAGTTAAGTGTGTTCCAGACACCGCAGGATGTAGGCTGGACTAGTGTCGGTCTACCGCCCTTCCAGAACAAACAATTTGCATAGAGGTATCATAAAAGAGGGATACATAGTATTTGAAGATTACAGTTACCTCTGAAGGCAAGACTCGAAGACAACTGAAAACTCCAAGTAAGTGAATTTAATGCTATATAGTTTGCAACCTATTAGTTTTTACTTGATTAGGTAAATGAATATGCTTTCATGTACTGGAATTGCACTAACTGTTGTCAATATTGTGTACATGCCTTTTACCATTTCTGTTATCAAGGAAGGGTACGATGACTTCAACTTCCAGCAATTTGTTTCTCTTGGAGTTGAAGCTAACAATTTCGAGAACATTTAAGCGCATCGAGGTTCTCAAATGTGCGCGGAGACATATTACAGTAAACCAGTACAAGGCACACTATATAATATCGAATTTTCCAGGTGAAAATGATGGTGTTCGTGCCAAAATCTGCAAATTAAAGTTATTATTTGTTCAGTTACGTGAGGATTTTAGCTGTCGAGTTTTCGAGATGTGCAGGTTAGCGTGCGTCATTTGCAAAAGCGAGGGAGGGTCGCGCTCTTCTCATCTTACAAAATCTTCGAAAGGTGCCTGTTTATTTGTTTTTTAACCGGGAACCACCCTGCATGTACTGTATCTTGCAAAAAGGTAGTCAGACACAATCATAAATTGTGTATTGATATCTTCCTCCAGCTGATTACTGTCAATGGATTATATAGACCTCTATATGTTTGTATAGATTATGTATTGTAAATGCTACATACATGGTGCATATATTTCTCCGGAATTTTTTCTGTAATTTCTTGTATTCAGTAAGTAAGTGGGGGTGTGATTATATGTTAGGGAACTTGCAGCTGAATTGCGAAGGACGCAGCTCAAACAAGTTTGAGGCTTTCTATAAGGGCGTTTCAGTCTAGCTAAGGGCGCCTTTGGCAGCCACCTTATGACTCATGTCTGAGCACGAAGGACAGCTACCAGTGGGAGGGCCAACTGGGCGCTAATCCCAACCCACCCTGCAGGGCCGGATTAACGTTCCGCGGGGCCCGTGGCATATTATCAGCGCGGGGCCCCTTGACCCCCCAACCTTCCAACGACACTGAAGTTAGTAAGATTAAAAAATACCCTCTTGTGTTTCATGCGTTAAAAAGTTTCCTGTGTATTTACAAACAAAAATAATTATACATCAATAATTTGATCAAACTGAATTTCAACCCAGTTTATACCATTAGCATTATTATCACTTACAGGGAAAAAATAACTAAACATGCTAAATAGCTAGATTCTGCCGTATTCCACAAAATTCAGCAACCTTTTAGTATTTAACAGTTTACTGCAAATTTTGGTATTTTCTGACCCCTATAATTTTGTTGGTCTCGCTCTTTGGAGCCCCTTGCCCAGAGAAGGAACAAAAAAAATTGTTTGCGTCCCTGCTTTTGGAGCCTCGCTTTTTAAACTTTGGGGCCTCGTGTTTTTTAGTATTTGGGGGCTTCGCTTTTAGGGGCCTTGGACTCTTTGGGGCCCCGCGCTGTTTGGATCCTGCGCTGAAACAGGAAACAAAAAAACCGTTCCGGCCCGGCTATTTGGGACTTCGATTTTTAAATTTTGGAGCCTGACGTTTTCTGAGAACCTTGGGCTCAGTTTGTGGCCCCGCGCTGAAACACTGAAACAAGGAAGAAAAAAAAACGTTTGGGCCCAGCTTGATGGGGCCTCGCTTTTTAAATTTTGGGGCCCTCGCGTTTTCTGGGGGACTTGGGCTCTTTAGGGCCCCGCACTGGCGCAGTGTTTGGGTCTCGCAATGAAACATGGAACAAAAAAATTCGGAAAAAATAGAAGAGAGTAAGCGCGGGGCCCCCAAAAGCGCGGGGCCCGTGGCATATGCCGCTTCTGCCATACGGTTAATCCGGCACTGCCACCCTGCCGTCAACATTCCTTGTGGGAAGAAACCAGAGTACCCGGAGCAAACCCACACTTTCGGTAGGGCCCTGACTGACTCTTTTTAAATGTAAGGCATGTCACGAGTCATGCAGCAGGAAGAGTCGAACCCATGATTACAGAGTTGAGAGCCGCTCACTCTAAGGATTGCGCTGGCCCAAGCCATACTAACTTATGCTGTACGTATTCACTTGCGATCTTATGTGTGCAACACGTTTAAGAATGTGCGCAACAAAATGTGTTATTCTTATTAGAATGGTTTTTCAAAACATATAATTACATAGTTTGCTATTGATATAAAAACTAGCTCTGTTTGATGTATGCAGCAAACTATTATACGCGTTTCATGTTCACTGTATAGGTTGCATGTACGAATTGAAATCAGAAAAAATGATCCGGTGTTTGTGATGCGAAATACTTTAGGGGCGGACCATTAGAAAAGTGATGGGGGGGGGGAGGGGGGGGAGCGGAGGGAGGCGAAGCAAGATAAAAATCGAGCAGAGGAATCAGAAAAAGTTGCACCAAAAAGGTTTGAAAAAAAATTCATGCAGAGACTTTTCAACAAGGAAAATTATGAAGTTGAAATAAAAAAAAAATCGTGCGAGGGATTTGATTTAAAAAAAATTATCGACAGAAGTAAAAATTGAACCAAAAAATTCGTACAAGTTGAAAAAGTCTCCCTCCCCCCATCACTTTTCTAATGGTCCGCTCCTTCCGTGCTCTTCCAAAGTCGCAACAATTATTCACGTTGCTCCACTAACATGAAAATCTTAGTTGAATGACAACGTCGTTGAGGATACCTCTGAGATCACAAATTATTCAAACTTTTTGTTTCGCATGAAACAAGGCTTTCTTTGACTTTGTTTCGAAATCGTGTCTTTGAGTTTGCGTCGTGTTTTCTAAATCAGTCTATTAATAGAATCCACCGTCATATCAATGTACCAAATGTTGTCTACAAAATGTTTGTAGTTCGCCACAGCTACTTTAAAAAATGTCCTAATGAGCTGCAAGTAGTGCTGCTTGAGTACAGCAAAACCCCACATATAAGAACCTAGAATTTAAGAACCTGTTAGGCTAAAATATTTTATTTAGATCAAATTTGTTAGATTTATTTCAAGGGTTAAATAAGAATCTGTTCAGGCTATAATTTCAAAACGAATTCTTATGTTATCAAATAGAGTCCAAATTAATCATAAGTTGCAATCAGCGTAGCTTTCAGTATATACAATTACATACAGCTATTTCAATTAAGGTTGACCCCGAGCAAAGCGGAAAAGACGAATATACGAGCGCGAAAGGCTGTAGGGAATCGCTAATAAATTCATTCCTTTATTAGCGATTCCCAGCAGCCTTTCCCGCTCGTATTCAACTTTTCCGCTTTGCTCGGGGGACAACCTTAATTGAAATAGCTGTATACTGTCATTTTTAGATCATTTGTGCATAATTTATATAAATCATATACCATACTGTACCTCTCTACAATGACTCGCTTTTCTCTTAAGAAAATAAAAACCTAATATCCTGGTAAGACAATTTACATAAGAACCTGTTTTGGCTTACTTGGAAAATCATTAGGATCTTATATGCGAGGTTTTACTGTTTGACTAATTAACGGAACTGCAGACACGTTGAACTGTGGAACGTAATTTAATAATATCACAGTATTCCGCTTCTTCTACAAACACAGATGGCTCAACTACTGGCAGTAATAAGTCTAAAATAATCAAAATAATAAACTTACTTTAAAAGTTTGCATAAATTATTCGCAAGAATGTGGATATGAAGTACTATTGAATCCTTCAGTGACAGAGAGCACTTTTGGACCCAAATAACTTACTTATTTTTTAAGAAAGTTACTTCTAGATTTTTCCAGAAAAAAATCACTATTTGATTATTGCGCAAATTGTAATTTTGATTACGTTTTACTTTAAACAAATTTGTAATTTTTCCTATATATTCACTTTTGAGTGTTTACAGGAAGAGCAAATCCAGTTGCTTCGAGCAATGCCATTGGCACTTATTCAAAGTTGGACAAATATTCATGCAACTGCAAGCTTATCCTCATTGTCCTCGTTATACTCGTTTTAACAAACTTAAAGCCGCATCTTTCGCTCTGTGCAACCATCGGACCATTGTCGAGGCTTTTTTGCCTAAAGTGAATACCATTTCGAACTTGTGATAAATATCAATTACCTTCATTAGGCATGCATGATAGGTTAGATTCTAATGGATACTTAAAACTGTCAAAGTTCGATAGGGAAACATAATAGGTGGTCAGATCTGTTCGAATAACTCAAGGGCAAGGTTTGAATATTCTTTAATGATCGACAGAGCGTATAACCGACTCTCGTAGAAGACAGAGAGCTGGTATATCAATTAGACTATTGTTCATATAATATATTTAGTACATTTGAATATAATTAGATTGTTGTCCTTATATTATTTTGTGAAAATGACATTTCTCCTGGGACATTTTGATTGGATATTAAATATATTTTTTACTGCGCGTAGTGAGCAAACAGATCAAGGTTTGTCTCAACTACAAGTACTTCGCTACTATCCACCTTTGCAAGGTACATATGTTGGAAAAATAAAAGCTGAGTGGGCAGTCTTAATGAAGAACAAAACATGTTAAAATCAAACTGTACATGAAGCAAAAACATGGACAAAACACAAACAAAAACCCCAAATTATTAAAGAGCGATTGTGTCAAGTTACGACAGCACCGTGCTGTTTTACAGCTCTTAATTGCAGCGGCGTGAAAGCGTCGATGAACCTTTTTATTCGAATGCTGCTAATCTACAGGGTACGGAGACCTATAGCCCTACATTTCCAACATGTAAGAATGTCCACTGTGTTTCCCTTGACGTGCGTCATGTTTACTTTGCCTGGAACTAATTTTAAACTTTATAATTTAATACACTATTGGCAGTGCACATTTTCGTAGAAAATAAGAAACTTGTTTTGTAATGATTATTTTTTGCATCATACACTGCCTAGAAATTTAACCGTGATTTGCATTTTCCCGAACAGGGCTTAAAATCGTGGTAGAGACACACCACCACACTTAAATTCAGTGAAAGGGAAAATTTTTGTACTCGAAATTAAACTGATTCTTTTTTTAAATTAAGAAAGTTAGTTCTAGGCTTTTCTAGAAAATAATGACTACTATTATTGCGCAAATTGTAATTTTGATTTTTTTTACTTTCAACATATTTGTAATCTTTCCTATAAATATTCGCCAGTTACTTCGAGGATTGACACTTATTCAAACTTGGACCATCCGTCAACAGCAGGCGGCTTTATCCTCATTGTTCTCGTTATGTTATGCTCGTTCGATCAAATTAAAACCGCATCTTTCGCTCTGTGTAACCCCAGACCATTGCGGAGACTTTTTTTGCCACGAAACAAATAAAGTAAATACCATTTCAAACATGCGAAAAATATCACTTAGCTTTCCATTAGGCATGCATGATAGGTTAGGCTAATGGATACTTGAAACAGTCTAAGTTCGAAGGGAAACATAGCAAGTGGTCAGATTTGTTAGGATAACTCAAGTGCAAGGAATAAGCATTCTTAAATGATCGACAGAGCATATAGTCGGCTCTTGTAAAAGATAGAGAGCTGGTACGAGGACTTAATGGTACAACTGCTCAATGCTGATTGGCTGGATTGAAATCACCTCATTTTCAAGTTACATGTACAAAGACCTCTTGGCCGTTAATATTTGCCAGAGTACAGCTTATATTTCCCTTCCTTAGACTGGGGGGGGGGGATAAGAGGGCCTGACAGAAATCTCTTTCTGGTCGCATGTAAAAATCCGGTTTCTCCTTGATCAATGTATCACACAAAGAAATTTTAATCTGTCTTTTTTATTTAATGGTGCTATATAGATTAAACTACTGTTCAAAATATTTATAGTACTTTTGAGTATGGTTAGATTGTTGTTCTTGTTTTGTGCAATTGATATTTCTCCTGGCATTTTGATTGAATACAAATTGACATTTTGATTGGATACAAATATAAATTTTACTGCGCGTGGAAAGCAACCAGATTAATTTTTATGTCAGGCTCTATTAGTGTATTTGTAAAATAAAACCACATACTCTGACCCCCGTCATTATAAAGGAGGTACCCAGCTCATTATGAACTCTAATCAGTGGATGCAAAGTTGCCAAGCAGAAATTCGACAACTGGACAAAACAACAACCGACGCAGATAATAGATATACAGAAGAGAACATTGAAAAAAAACACTATTAGAACTTTAAAATAACTTTCATTTGTAACGATACAGTTCTCGTGCAATAAAATAAAATAAAATAGAATAAAATAATAACCTCGTTAACATATCTGGGTTTGTGTGTTATCTCTGTGTGTTTGTCTATCTTAACACGATAACTTAAAAGATATCGTATCAATACGAAAATTTGTAAGTCTAATGAAAATAGGCCAAGGCCAAACAAATTAAGTTTTGATTCAATTTGGATAAAAATTAAATGAGAAATTAGCAAAAGTTTGTCTTCTTCGCCAGGCAGAGAAAACCGCGAATGTACAATTTTGCCCATTGGCACAATGGACGACTTTCGCTTTAGACTAAACTTTAGTCTAAGTAAGAACAACGAAATCTATTACCACGGCTAGAAAGAGCGTCTTGGAATTAGTAATATTACAAAGTTTGGTTGCGAAATGTTGTAAAATACGGAAAATATAGCCCTTCAAAGTTGGCAAATTTGTACACTTTTGTATTACGTGCGTGAATTGGTAACTAAATTAATTACCAATTTCCGCACGTAATAGAAATGTATACAAATTTGCCAACTTCGCAGGCCTATATTTTCCGTATTTTATAACATTTCGCAACCAAACTTTGCAGTTTTTCTAATTTTGATAACTTCTTTCCGAAAATATCCTTTGTTATTCCCAGATTAAAAATTTTTCTAAAGCGCAAGTCGTCCATTACGCAGTCTTTGAATGCCCTCCAGTTGTTGAATATAAAAATACTGTTTTGATTTATTTATTTATATTTAATATAGCATAGCTAAAAGAAGAAAATGAAAATTCATATCATTGCGTTGGTCCTGTTGATGGCGGCGGTCGTCATTCATGCCAGATATTGGGACAAGTTGCTGTTTGAAGATGGTATGTTTTTAGGCCAACTTATTGTCGCTAGGAAAGTTCAGCACAGCGTGTATAAAAAAGAGTAATCCAAATTTAGCTAACCTGCGATAATGAGCTTAGCTAGATTCTCACAAGAGAGTTAATCCTGTGGTTAATCGCACCTTCTGCTGAACTAAAGTTTAGTATCACTGTTTTCCTAATCTCCCAAAAATCGTTTCATTTCATCGTTATTGGTTTGTACATTACGTCATGGTTATAGTGTGCAATTATATTATAGAAGCCATTCTGATTAGTAAAATGTAACAATACTAGGCGTCGTTCTGTAGGCTTCATGATTGGTCAGTTGCAATTAGCAAAAAGTAAAAAAAGCAGTTTAGAAAACATATTTGTTTCAAGACAATAAAAATTAAGCTCCCCTCACTTGAAAGAGCTTTCAAAATAATATACAGCATGAACATCATTTTCAGTTCTTATCTAAGGTTGTCGAGTTTAGAGATATTTTGACCAGATACAGCAAGGTGATTGCTGAAGGGGGATGGGCGAGCTGGAGGTTTTTAAGATGGTCGCATCTTTCATGATTCTTAACCACAAAAGAACCCCAACCATGCACTAAACTAATCCTAAACAATCCTAACAATCTTAAACCTTACCTTAATTAGGATAACAATCCTAAATCTTACCTTAAATTTTACCCTCAAACTAACCATAACATAACCCTCATATCAACCTTAAACTAATAAAGCAAACTTTGAGTATAAATTTTGAAAACCTCCTTACTGCCCATTCTATAGCCATTACCGATACAGCATGTCTTCCGCCATCTTGTTTTTCATCGGAAGACGAAGACCAAATCGAAGGCAAGGGAACGTTATGTTTCCAATTTTCGCCTTTCCTAAAGTAAACTGTAGGTTCCAGACAGCGAGTGTATTTGAATAATGCCCCAACTTATTACATAAATTGTTTACTCTGTTCAGGAATTTCCCGTTGTGAGCGTGAAGGTGACGATTCCTGCAAGTGTGAGAAATACTTTGAAGGAATCGCAGGACAAAACTGCTCAGAGGGCCGTCAAAATTGCGATGACTCCAAAACCTGTTACATGAATCATCAATGGCATGCATGTTGCTTGAACGAAGAAGCCGGCGCAGAAGCCGATGTCCAATTACAAGACGAAAACGATGGTAGGGAAACGTCAAGTTTTCTTTTGTTGGTTTTGTTTGCGTTGCTGTAGTAAAAATGACGGTTTATTAACATCAGTGAGTACAATTGAATGATACCCTAAATTATTAGCTACTTAAAAAATTTATTCGGCTCAGGAATTTCCCGTTGTGAACGTGAAGGAGAAGATGCCTGTAAATGTGAGAAATACTTTGAAGGAATCGCAGGACAAAATTGCTCAGCAGGACGTCATAATTGCGATGATTCCAAAACCTGTTACATGAACCACCAATGGCATGCATGTTGTTTGAACGAAGAAGTCCGCGCAGAAGCAGATGTCCAATTACTAGAAGAAAACGAAGGTAGGCAAAGGTTAAATTTCCCTTCTTTGCTTTACTTGCTTTGCATGTTTGCATAATGCCCTGACTTATTACATAAATTGTTCATTCTGTTCAGGAATTTCCCGTTGTGAGCGTGAAGGAGAAGATTCTTGCAAGTGTGAGAAGTACTTTGAAGGCATCGCAGGACAAAATTGCTCAGAGGGACGTCATAATTGCGATGATTCCAAAACCTGTTACATGAACCACCAATGGCATGCATGTTGTTTGAACGAAGAAGCCGGCGCAGAAGCCGATGTCCAATTACAAGACGAAAACGATGGTAGGGAAACGTCAAGTTTTCTTTTTTTGTTTTGTTTGCGTTGCTGTAGTAAAAATGGCGGTTTATTAACGTCAGTGAGTACAATTGAATGATACCCTAAATTATGAGCTACTTAAAAGATTTATTTTGTTCAGGAATTTCCCGTTGTGAGCGTGAAGGAGAAGATTCTTGCAAGTGTGAGAAATACTTTGAAGGAATCGCAGGACAAAATTGCTCAGAGGGACGTCATAATTGCGATGATTCCAAAACCTGTTACATGAACCACCAATGGCATGCATGTTGTTTGAACGAAGAAGTCGGCGCAGAAGCAGATGTCCAATTACTAGAGGAAAACGACGGTAGGGAAAGGTTAAATTTCCCTTCTTTGCTTTTGCTTGCTTTGAATTTTTGAATAATAACGGCTTATCGACCGAGCGTGAGGTCTGTACTGTGAAATATCAGACCGAGGTTTTTTAGTATGGACCGAGCGACGAAGCAGCAAGGTCCATGCAAAAAACAGAGGTGTGAAATTTCACAGTACAGACCGAACAAGCGAGGTCAATAATCGGTTCGTTATTTGGCTGAACTGTCTCTGTGAGCATATGCTTTTCGCGCGAATTAAATCGGCTATCGTCAGTTTCACTGGGTAACAATATACGGTAGGCATGCATGCTCAGTCAAAAACAATTTGAGTGTTTGAAATTTTATCTGTAAATTTTAATGACACACAATTGGAAAATTAAAAGGCAAAATTTTTTTCTGTTTGCAAAGCGAAAATTTCCCGCCAGATAAACGATATCCGCGACACCTGTCCAGATACGGAAAATACGGACGACGGTCCGGATATGGATTTTTACGGACCGCTTGTCAACCAATCAGAATAGAGAATTTTGAAAAGCCATATAATACTACTTATTATATAAATTGTTTATTCTGTTCAGGAATTTCCCGTTGTGAGCGTGAAGGAGAAGATTCTTGCAAGTGTGAGAAGTACTTTGAAGGCATCGCAGGACAAAATTGCTCAGAGGGACGTCATAATTGCAAAACCATTGATGATTCCAAAACCTGTTACATGAATCATCAATGGCATGCATGTTGCTTGAACGAAGAAGCCGGCGCAGAAGCCGATGTCCAATTACAAGACGAAAACGATGGTAGGGAAA